TTGTTTTTAAATAATTTTGGTAAACTGCAAAATGAAATCCAGAATCAAATTTCACAAACAAATTTGAAACAAGTCCAGGAAAACCGAAAAAGATTAATGCCCATAATTGATACTATTATTACCCTGGGAAAACAAAATATAGCCTTTAAAGGACACAGAGATGACGGGCTCCTAGATGTGCCTTCAAATTCTTCACCACAACCTCAACAATCGATCACCAATGAAGGCAATTTTCGAGCTCTTTTAAAAATGAGAATTCGTGCCGGAGATGTAACTTTAAGCGACCATTTGAAAAATTGTAGTTCACGGGCAACCTATATTTCTAAAACAACTCAAAATATTATCATCAACTGTTGTGGTGAAGAAATTTTAGACACACTAAGGAAAAACATCAGTGAGGCTAAATTTTTTTCGATAATGTTTGACGAAACTACGGATATTTCTGCTTCCTCTCAGTTGAGTATTGTATTAAGATATGTACATAATTTTGAAATCAGAGAAGATTTTATAGGGTTTACCGACGTTCACGATCTCAATTATGGAAGTGAATTTGACATTACAACTGAGCCTAAAATTTGCGGCGAGAAATTAGGTAAATCTGTTATTTCGATTTTAGAAAATAACGGTTTTGAAATTAAAAACTGTGTCGGTATATGTACCGATACTTGTAGTATTATGACTTCTCTACAGAAAGGAGCTGTTAGTGAAATCAGAAAAAAGGCACCTTTATCTGTTAGAGTACCGTGTTACAACCATTCCCTAAATTTGTCAATATCAAAATGTGTCCAGATTCAAGGAGCTAGGGACTGTTTCGGTACAATTAGAGAAGTAATTGCCTTTTTCCATGCTTCAGCAAAAAGAAGTTTTTTAATTAAAACAAAACTTGGTACAAAACTTGGAAGTCTTTGTGATACCCGTTGGGTGGAAAGACATAATACTTCCCTTTATTTTGACAATAATTTATCAGATATTATTGAAGTACTCGATAATATTAAGACCTGGCAGGACAATGTTTCGAGTCCGAAAGCTAATATGCTAATTAACAGCATGCTAACGGCTCCTTTTTTAGTTGCACTAAAATGCATAAACTTTATATTTTCTATAACTCAGATATTGAGTAATTTGTTTCAAAAAAAATCTCTAGATTTATTTTACGCAAAAGAAACAATCGATGATTTAGTTCAGACATTAAAAGAAAAAAGAGAAAATGCAGCTACATATTTTAATGAAATTTGGCAGGAAATAATAAATTTGGCCGAAAACTTGAATGTCAGTTTGCAAAAACCAAGGACTACTGCGCGACAAACAAAAAGAGCCAATTATGACGTAGAGACCGTAGAAGACTATTATCGAATAAGTATTTTTATACCCCTCTTGGACGACATAATTTCCGATTTAAAATCTCGCTTCAGCGTTGAAACTATAAATATTTTCAATCTTACAATTTTATTACCTCAAAATTTATCAACAGCTGATGACAAAACTATTGATAGCAATATTACTATTCTGTGGCAAACTTATGAAAATATTTTAAGCGATAATGGCCTCACTAATTCTAAAGCTGTTTTTAAAAACGAAGTTTTGTTTTGGAAATCAAAATTATCTCGACTAGAACAGACCAAACGAGAAGAGCTAAATGATGTAATGGCTGTTTATAAATTTTGCGATAAAGAAATATATCCAAATTGTAATATTCTATTGCAAATTTTACTTTCAATTCCTGTAAGTGTTGCTTCATCAGAACGCTCTTTTTCTGCCCTCAAACGTCTAAAAACTTGGCTTAGAAACAGAATGTCTCAAGAAAGACTCCTTGGATTGGCCTTACTCCATGTTCATTTGGATATGGACATAAGTATAGACAAAATAATTAATCGTTTTGCAAAATCAAGCCATAGGTTAGATTTTCTAGTCTAGTTATATGTGATATTATTTGTTTTTGTTTTTTTATTTATCCTGTTTATAGTTCCTGGCTAGTCATTTTGTTAAACGTTGACGCAATGCTAATGCTGAATAATGACTAAGTACTAAGTTAGTAGAAGTTAGTTTATTTTTTTCCCATTGATCATTGTTTATCGCTTGTCGCTTGGGAATGGGTATTGGGCTATGGTTATGTTTATGTAACGAGTAACGTAGCTTTGGCAATATTCTCACCATACCCAAAGAAATAAGAGATCCTTTTCATCTTGTCAAAGATTGTTTTTTTTATACCTATCTAGATATTATTATGTTCAGCTTTGTGAATTAGGCAGGTTTAGACTTAAGAAATTCAATAAAAATATGTTTTTTGTAACTTATGTTTCACCTGAACCCTCCCGTCCCTGCAACTAGGAATTGGATTAATTATTATTTTTTTTATTGTCATTAGAGTAGCAGTAGCTTTACATTATTAATGGGCCGCTAAATAAATAATTATATTTCATTATCTATGAATTCGAATAAAAATTATTAGGTAGTGAGTCGATTTTTTTCAGCAAAACGTTTAGTTGCTTGTCATTAATTTTTTGGAATTATTGTGTTTTTTACGACTTTTGGATAATAATTTGGGCGTGGCACCCCAAAAAAATTTTCGCCTACGGCGGCACCTGCGGCGGGCTTTCCGCCACACACGCAACCTCTGTCGACGTTGCCCCCCCCCCTTGGACAGGTTCTGGATCCGCCCCTGGCAAGATGAAAATAACGAAATCAACATAACTTGCATACTTGCAGGTGAATCATCTTCCACCACAATAAGGAATTCTTCTAAACCTATATAAGACAAAAATCAGATTTATTAACTCTGAGAACAAATAAAATAAAATTACTTAGCTTCTATAGCAGTAATTTTCAAATAAATAATTTAAATGAACAAAAAACTGAGGTTCTGGGTTATGTATTATTATTTATGTTTGTTGTTGTTCAACCGCTGACCCATTTTCGACCTCACTATGCATGCGTCTAATTTTAGAACCAACAGTTCTTCCTTTCAAACAAGAATCGTTTGAACCGTAATTTTACTATCCGTAACTCCGGTTGGAACGACGAACTGTCAATTATCGCCAATTCTAAGGGTGGGTATTTGTAAAACTGCTTTGACAGTTAACTTGAAGTGAACTTTTTGAATTACATGTAATTCTAGAAGTTAACTTAAAGTTAACTTTCAAAGTAGTTCCATAATACCCGCCCTAAATTTACTAATGGTGGGTATTATAAAACTATTTTGACAGAATAACTATAAGTTAACTTCTGGAATGACGTTACTTCTCATGTAATTCTAGAAGTTAACTTTCAGCTAACTGCCAAATTAGTTTTATAATACCCGCCCTAAATTAGTAATTTTAACTGGTTGGAACAGCATTTCACAATTGCGCATGTGTGCCAGTAATATTACTGGAAATTACTGCCGGTTGGAACAAACCTATTAGGACATAATGAAGAAAAAAAAATATGGATGAGTTAATTTTTTGATAAACAATATATTATTCAAATATACAGGGTGTCCTAAAAAGATACCGACAAACTTTAAAGGGTAGTAAAGGACATCAAAACAAAAAACAAGCATTTTTGTTTATATAAACATATGTCCGCAAATGAGCCATTTGGGCTGTAGAGCGAAAAAATTGTTTGGTACTTTTATTCTCCGCAATAATTAAATCACTGTTTATATACAAATTATGGATTACAATAATTGTTCAAAATGTTGACCATTTACTTCAATGCAAAGATTGCACCGTCAGGTCATTAATAGACATTAACTACTACGTTAATTAAGGAAACTAATCACAAATTAGGTAGGAATTTTCAAAATTTCAGTAAAAAATCAATAAAATCAGTAAAAAACCTCAAAAAACCCTTTCCACAAACATTAAATATTGTAAATATTTACCAAGGTGGTATGCTGATTTTGCCATAAAATATAGAAATCTATTAAAGTAAACAAAATAAATAAACAAAATAATAATAATTGTAAAAAATCACTAGTCACTAAAGTCTTATATCCTCTCGCTTCTCAACCTTTGACACAGATCAATAAATAATATCTATTCTTATCAGCTTAATATCGCTATTCGCTATACCCTATCAAAGATGCACAATCAACAAAGAAAAAAATTAAATTAAAAAAAATCATAACTTGATAACTATTCAAGGATCCATATTTTTTTTCTCGCTAACCATCTTGAAATTGCTTTGTTTATCAGTAATAATCAAAATCATGTTGAAAATCAAAGGGACCTAAAGTGATCTATCACCGAAATTCGTATTGATTTGTCAAAATAGCGATTCTATTTTTCGCTTTTTCGATACGTAATAAGCCTAGTACTCTTAACCGCGAATTGTGGATTTTTATTTTGCGGATTTTTTTCTATTGGTCGAATAAAAATCCGCAATTCGCGGTTATAAATACTAGCACAGAATATATAGCTAAACCATGGTTTAGCTATATATTCTGTGGTACTAGGCTTTACAGGTACGTCCCAACGATGATACACACCTACAGGATTGCTTATCGGTCTCGTTCTTGGTAATTGACGCCATTTGATGGGTCACCATTTCCGACGTCATAACCAAGTCGTCAGCTGTTCAAACAGCCTACGTCAAGGCGAGAAATACCATGCTGCCTACGTCACAACTGGTGATTTGATGATGGTCGTCGGGGGAGGGGAGATTTGTTCCACAGTTCCACACAGGCCTTATGAGAATTGAGGATGGGCTATCCTGCAGTAGCAGTGTGTCGTAGTTTGTATCATCCACCACGCATCTGGGGTGCGATTTTCGAAACCATTCGAGTACATTTCGTACACGAAATTTGACTGACAGCAATGTAAATTAAATGGGGAGCAGTCAAATTTCGTGTACGAAATGAACTCGAATGGTTTCGAAAATCGCACCCCTGTTCCCTGCAAATCGGGGGCTACTAAACACCGGAACGAGTAGCTCGAGTGTTTTAAACTCTTGAAAGGAATACAACTATTCCTTTCACACCTAGGAGGAGCTCCGGAACAGCTCCGGGGCTTCACGCGCTTATTCCTTTCGAAAAATGTTTGTTGCACCACGTATCTGTTCCCTGCAAATCGGGGGGCGACTAAACACCGGAGCGAGTGGAGTGTTTCAAACTCTTGAAAGGCAAGGAATACGAAGATAGGCTATCCTTTTCCTTTGTCATTGTATTTATGTAATCTTCGATTTCAGGTTATAATCCATCCATCCAATTGTTAAAAACACAAATACAACTTGAATTTCCATTTTCAGTGTAGTATTTGGAAAAATGCCTCCCAGGCCAACAATTCCTGTTCACGATGTCAACCCATTTTTCCAAAAACTTCGGGAGTTTTTGTTAGGTAGAAAACACACTTTGGCATTGAGATTTCCCGAATACTTGGCCACCAGGAGTCCACCACCTCCAAGCCTGCCTGATGGTGTTACCCATAAGTTAAGTGCAAATTATTACTATACCAGAGACGGTAGAAGAGAGGCAGTGCCGCCAGAGGTAATTGCATCAGGTCTTGGGCAAATTGAGGCTGGCACTGAGGCTTCAGTTAGAACCAAGAGGATTACACCTGGAAAACCTTATAAATGGGACTAGAGTCTAGAATATGACAATGTGTTATTCATTTAGTAGTTATTTATTAAATTATAGAACTTTGAGTTTATTGTACTTTTGTAGTTTTTCTTTTCCAATCGAATTGACCCTCAAACAAAGTTTTCGATAAGCAATTATTCCTTTCATAAAATTGTTGCCATATACAGGGTGTATATTTTAAATGATACCACTATTGCTATATTCGAAAAAGGTAATAGCTAAAAGGTCGGTTATATTGAAAAAAGTTACCTTTTTCGATGCCCATTCAAGACTTGTTTACAGTGTTGTGTTGCCAAATTCCTTTTGGTTCATGAAATACAGGATGATTTCTAAGAAACGCCTGATCACTGCTGATCACGTTTTATTGCAGGAACGTCGGCCAATCAGTTTCATGACCTAAAAGGAATTTAGCAACACTGAAAACGAGTCTTCAATGGGCGTTTTTGAAGTTTAACCAACCTTTTAGCTCTTACCGTTTCGGATATAGCAATAGTGTTACCACTAAAAATATACCATTTAAAACAAAACAGGCTAAATATCTGATGTCAGATGTCACTTTTATTTATTTTTTAATCCCTCGTACACGTAATTTGATTGTCTGAGGGCCGATCCTCTTGTTCTCGATTAACGAATTTGATACGTCGTCAAAGTTTTGCATGGGCCAAAGTCTATAAGTATGATGTGGTTAGAGCACATTCTAACCCCTGATTATTTTTAACGGCTGTCAAATGAGAGCTAAAGTACCGGCACTGAGTGTTTGAAACATTTTCAGCACTAACTTAACCCTCTAAGGGCGGGTATTATAAAACTGCCTTGACAGTTAACTTAAAGTTAACTTTTTGAATTACATGTAATTCCAGAAGTTAACTTTAAGTTAACTCTCAAAGTAGTTTTATAATACCCGCCCTAAGGGGGGTGAGACCAACCCTTACCATTCCAAATGGAACAGGGGGTCGAGTGCTACCTGTTTTAAAAGAGCGTTCAATTTTCTTTCGAATGAAAGAGAATTAAACGCTCTTTTAAGAGAGGCAGGTATCAGTGGCGGATCCACGAAGGGGGGGGGGGGGGGGGGGGGTAAAGGGGTAAATTTAACGATTAAAAAACACACAAATTATTTTTTGGAGGCTTAAAATGCGTTTTGGGCGTGGCACTCGAAAAAAATTTTGCCTCCGGTGGCACCTGCGGTGTGTGCTTCACTTACTTGCTCCTACTTTGGGTGTGAATCTCTTCGAGTATAGACCACAAGCCGTTACTGGTTGAGAAGCTCTCCCCCCCCCAGGATGGTGCTCTGGATCCGCCACTGGTAGGTATCACTCGATCCCTTGTTCCATTTGAAATAGTAAGGGTTAGTTCCACCCCGCCTAGAGGGTTGAAGTTGAAGTCTAAAAATGGTTGCAGAAAACTTCCCCCTTTGAAAATGAAATCACGATTTTTGAAAAAAATCATTATGGCATCGAATCAGATATTTAGCCTGTTTCGTTTTAAATGGAGCACCCTGTATTTATATCATATATGGTATGTAGGTACCCTACACCTACATATTTTATTATTTTGCCGTTTCAAACAAGGGATTAGATTGGTCACTTTTATATCCCTCGCCTTACCGAAAGTGGGTCAGCGATGACCGGAAATCTGATTTTCCAGGAATACCTATCTTGCGGCCCCGCGACTTTTTTTCAGAGATCTATGAATTCTCCTAATTTATGTCAAGAATGTTGCCTTTTGTATGATTTTCTCAAAAAATCAATTTTTCCCCAAAAAACTTTCTAATGGGTCACCAATAATGACCCGGTTGTGGGATAAATCCGTATACGCTGAAACCCTCCAACTCGACAAGTCGTAGCAAGCTTTTTACGTGTATTCGGAGTTTCTAGCTTCGTCCTTCAGTTTACTATTTACTTATCTCTTATCTTATGAATGAAAAGTTTATTGTTTTTTTTTTATGTAATGAAATTAAAGCATAATACAAAAACATGTTTTATTATGATTCTCAAAATGTTAGATTCAAAATCACTCAAAAAAAAGGTTTGTATCTAGGTCTATTTTGGCCCTGTTCTGGGATCCAAAATTTAAAATTATTTTGGGACGGCTAGGGTATTTATACGTCTGGCTGCAGTCTGGCAATACAAAATGATACAAAGTTTCTGCGCCCCGCTTTTGTCCGTGTCCAGCGACAGCTGCGCTGGGAGCTAATAAAGAAAATACATAAATAATTTTGTTGAAAAGATTGAATTTATTTGGGTCAATAGACTGAATACTGAATAGACGTGATGGTTATCTGCTATACAGGTAGGAGGTAGGTACCTAGTACCAGTACCTATGCCTGTCAGCCTGTGATTTGTAAATATGCAGATTTCTATTTCCTATGCCAGTAATACGAAAATATACAAGTACAACTTGTCGCGAGGGCCCTAATTCTTGAAGCAGGGGAGCAACGTTCCTATGAGAAGAAGTGTTCTATCTTTGTTACTCATATTATCATTGGCATATTATTGACAGAGCAATCGTTCTCATGAGAACGCTGGTTCCTGGTTTTCAAGAATAGGTAGGTAGGTTTTCTCCGTATATTTGACGTAAAGAATTCGTTCTCACTCATTGGGTTATAGACAGATACTGTCGGTAATATGAGGATTACCCAACATAATCTTTGGAAAAAATATGTGTCGCGAAAAATAGCCCTATGTCTCGAGTGGTAGGTAATAGAGGTCTGTTCTCACAAGAGTCTCCGACAGTTTGCAAAGTGTCAGAAACAATCACTCAGCTAAGTTACCGATTTATCTCGAAACAGCGGCATTGAAAACATGTATGGGCAATGCTTACTGACAGTGACAGCTTGCGAACTGTCAGAAACTCCTGTGAGAGCTTAGATCTGTGAATCAAGCATGATTTTAATGTTTAACCCTCATTAGGCGCGTGGATTCTACTTACGCGGTCTCTGATACATGATTATTTATGTTAGTTGAAATGCATAAAACACATTTACACACATATTCTACTTAAATTTTATTATAGGGAAATTAAAAACCTATACACGTGTTTTTATAGGCGTCCAATAGCAGGTTCCTAAAAAATGGTTGCAAAATCCAAAAATTTTAACAAAAAAAATTAATTTATATTTTTTTATATGAAAAGATAAACCTAGACTTACCATAAACTGAACACTAAAAAAATATAGAAACATATAAATGAAAAAACGCAACTCAAACATACATCATTTTTTACCCTAACAAACGTCATGCGGTGCGCAATAAAGGGTGGTCCTTAAATGGGGTATGCGACAGATTTCTGATTTTTGAAATGGTGCACCCTGTATGTGATTGCATTTTTGGATTCTACGTAATGATTAAAAAAAACAGTTAAATTTAACCTACAGTTAAATTCAAAGTTGGTGTCAAATGATAGTTTATGAAAATCTAAGATAGGAATGTTAAATCGGTTTTCCTCTTAAATTAACCGTTCGGGTTTTACAGCCAGTCAAAGTTGCGTAAAAAGTCAATTTTCAACTGTCAATATTTCCAAAACAGTTGAAGTTAGGTATAGGGTATATTACATGAAATCTGCTCAGAATTTTACGTAGAATCCAAATATGCAATCACATACAGGGTGTTCTATTTAAAATAACAAAGTTCTGTCGCATACCCTATAAACAGAGCACCCTGTATATTCAAAAATATTTTTAACTAATGCATATTAGAGTATCAAACAACTTTGTAATTTAATTTTTTTTTGTTGCATCACCCTGTAAGGAGATATCGTCCGGTATCGCACTAAGTGGACACCCTGTATAACGAATTCTCGAGCAAATTTAGCAACGTCAAATGCAATATGCTGGCATATCAGTGGAATTTGAAAGCGTACCAATATTGCTCTACAACAAAAGAACGTAACAATCTGTCTAAGGGCCGGTTTATCAATAGAGGGTTACCCCATGAGTTACAGATAACCTTGGGTCAAAGTTGTGATAAGTGTTTATCCATCCCGGGTTAACTGCTAACTCGAAAGTTATTCCAGGAAAAAGTTAACCCGCGCTCTCACGTCAAGTTAGCGTATTTGACCCTGGGTTAACCTCAAAATTTTCTCTTATTTTCTAGCTGATTTGTTGGTTTTGGATTGAATTTTCATGTTGTGAAGAGATGGAGGACCTAGATTTCAGTGATGATGATCGGGATGTTCTAGAATTTTTAGAACATGCATTAGCGGCGCCTCTACCTAAGGTTGCGGTCAAATCCCTTTGACGATTTTGACGATGTCGACTTCTTTGCACGTTTTCGCTTGCGAAAGAAATAATTTTATTTGTTCTAAAACAAATCGAGCATAGACTTGAATTCCCAACAATCCTGTTCGTTGGGGATTTGAGTATATTGTATATTTTTACACAGAATACACGAAACCAAATTTTCCGCTAGTGGGGATTTACACCAAAGTAGTATGCGATATGCGACTTGCTGCTAGAAGGCAAGAAGCATGATACCTTCTTATTTCAGAACCTTTAGAAATATATGTCTGGTTTCATACCGGAGTGATTTGAACATGTCGTATATTTTAGATTTCAGTTTGCGACGTAATACGTATTTGCAAGACGCACAAACGTTGTTTATAGATTCTTGACTTGTTTCGTAGACGAGTGTCGATAAATTAGGTAGCTCTGTGCGACTTTGGTATTAATGTACCTAAATGTAAACATGGAAAACGCAAGTTGCAACGTGCTTCCTGCTTCCAAGCCCACCTACGGAAACGGAAAAAAAAAGAAAAAATAACATATATAAATAAGGCTATGAACAGAAAATGTGAAAAAAACAGTGAAAATGAACTGGCAACGTTGCATAAGTAATGCCAACCTTCGAAGAACCCGAGAGTTTACCAGCCCTGGGTTAAAAAAGCTTGAGCTTGGATAAACACCTTTCGACATAACCCGATAGTTAGCCCAGAGTTAGAGTTGACCTAGGGTCAGCAAACTCTGCGAGTTATCCCTTGATTGATAAACCGGACCTAAGTGCAAAATACTAAGTTTGCAAATAAACAAAAGTTATTTTTGTGTTATATGATAAATTGGTTTTGTTTTTTAAAAGACAATAAAAGTTCGAAAAAACGTTCCAATAGCCAAAACTCCAAGTTGTGCACTCGGCAAAAAATGTACCACGGTTAGGCGCGTGGACTACAATTGTAATCCAGTCGTATTTGACAGCCCCTAACTCAGAACAACGCAGAATTCACCTGTATATTTTATATTGAGGAGGTGAGGTGAGCGTGGATTACAAGGTGAGGTGAGCGTGGATTACATATAGGTGAGGTGAGCGTGGATTACATATGTAATCCACGCGCCTAACGGAGGGTTAAATCAGTGATGTTTTAAACCATACACTCAACTCGAAATCTATATTTCTCTTTTGCTTTTTAATTTTTTTCATATTTCAACCATTCGCTGGTGTACTACTAGGTACTTATAAAATAAAGTTAGCTATAAATAAATAGGTAAGAGTAGGTATAAAAAAAAGTAAAATATTTTTGAGACAAAAAATGTTGAGCCCGGTTGAATGACTGATTTGCGTCACACGATTTTTTTTATGTGTTTGCAACCCCTTAGCAAATACCCCCACCGCCACCTAGCCAGCTGACACCCCAAACGTATCTGCACAAGTGGGTACAATCGAATAAAAATATAAAGAAACTAGGTACCCGGAATCGTTGCAATTTTTGTACACGGGCTCCAGGACTATTAACAAGTAGTGCAATGCACGGAATCTGAATCTAGAATGCATGTGCCACAAGGAGAAGGAATCGGCGATCATCAATTTATCTGTCTGGCTGGTATAGTGATCTTGGAAGGATAGTTAGTTTTTCTTAATCTGCCGAGATTCAGATGGTATATCAACTTGACTGCATTTAAAATGGTTTTGTAAGGGTAATTTAGGAGCCTCTGTTGAAGAAAAAAAAAAAATTTTTCGAGACTGGGACAAATCTGTTTTTGGAACGCTCTTTTGACTGAATAGGTCCCAGGCCTCTTCAGTTTTTTGGAAGACAGAAAAGATCACGTATTCCCTCTGTTTCATTGAATCGACAAGACATAGTCTAGGGCTGAGGAAGTTTATTGTAGATATCACGCACGAGTAGCTACAAGAGAAAGAATGGGATTTATGGTTACTTACTATTAGATCCACATCAACAGGCTTGATAGTGCCCAACATTTCCTTGCGAGTGCGCATATCCGTAAAAAAAAAAAAAAAAAAAAAAACACAAATTTATCAGGTTTGCAAAACTTTCTCACTTAGAAACAGCAATACTGTTTGAAAAAATGCTCCTATATTACTGTCATGGCTCTGTGGTGCGTGACAGAAATCTTGGGTTCGTTTATTCCAAAATAATAAATAATAATAATGAATGGCTTTATTGTAATTCAAGAGTTTACAAGTAACAGGCACAAAATAGTTAGTATTAAATATTTAAGAATCACAAATGGCGGAGTCGAAGTACAGCTTCCTATCTCAACCAGAGTACAGTGACTCTATTACCACAGTAGCGACAATTGCTGTCTTATTTTTGATTGGTTCTAAAATCCCATATATTTATATTGAAAACGCCATCTTGTTCCCAACCTCTTGTTACCTATAAATATGAATATATGGGATTTAGGTGAACATCCATCATAAATCATAGAAAACAAGGTATTCGATGGACCTAATATTGATCATCAAATACATCGATTTCAATTTTTTATGATAGATGTCCATTTAAATCCTATATATATATTAATATTTAAAAGTACCTAACAAGAGGTTGGGAACAAGATGGCGGCGGGACCTCTATTGTCGCCACTGTATGTAAAGGTTTATTTAGCCACTGTAAACCAGAGTATATAGATATGACATAACGAAATACAGAATATTACATCGAATATATCAATGCAATGACAGTCATTAGACTAGCACGGGGCTAGTACAAAGAAAAAATATAAAAATACAATAATATAGAGAATATAAAAAAGTGAAAAGCATATAGTATAAGTCGGAGGTATAAGGGAGATGGACAATTCAAAAGTTAAACACATATATACAGGCCGGAGAGACAATGAGTGTGACGGTGCGAGCTCAGACAAGAACTTTAATATTTTGCTTGACAAATTGCCTAAACTTGTAATCAGAGGCGGTTTTGTAATCAGCAGTACATTTTTGATATTTGGTAGCTAAATGATCTCTCATACATGGATGTAGCATGCGTGGGAGGAGTTATTGTAAATTTGTGTCTGAGCTCCAAGTTATGTGCATCATACCGAAACTTAATTTTATCATACAGATAATCAGGACATCTTTTACAAATCAATTTTTTGAACAGACCACACTATGCAATGCGCATCTTTCATTCATTCTTAGCCATTTAATTTCGCATAGCTTGGCACTCACACCCCTCTCACGGCCCCTAATACACCTATCAACCTGACACACGAATTCTGCACGAGCTGAATTCTTCTGGCATCGGAAACCAGCAGACAGGGACGGACCGTACAGTACATCGCAGTAATTAAAGTGCGGTAAGACAATGGAAACGTACAACACTTTCTTGAGATTCTCATATTAAGTAGGGCTTGTTGGTTAAATATTAGTTTAAGGTTAGCAAAAGCCTGCTTCTTGATACAGTTATTAATAGGCCCCGAGAATCTTAGATCAGTGTCCATGATCAGTCCCAGATTTTTTGCCGCACCACATGCGTCTAAAACCTGGTTTATCTTTAAAAGATTCCGGGTCCGGCCGAACAGCAGAACCTGCGACTTAGCGGGATTTATTTCCAGACAGTGCGCCTCTGAGGCTTTCTGAATTCAAATCGTGCGTCAGTCTGTCGTTGGCCATCATTATTTGATCAGGCTTGAATGAGAGATAAAGTTGTGTGTCGTCTGCATAATAGTGTACAGGGTGCTGCAATTTGGAGTGTTTCAACAGGAAAAACATACTTCCAGAGAAGATAGAGGAAAATTGACTTACACGTCATTGGATCGATTTTCGAGAAACGTCGATTGTCAAAAACCGTATCACGATATCTTCAATGGTACCATTGATACAGGGCGATTTTCGATTTTCCCCTATTATGAAAAATAGCTATAAGTTTTTTATTTATCAATTTTTTTTATTTCTGTAAAAACATTATGGAGATACTTTTTTGAGCACAATCCAGTGGCGGACTCAGTTTTTTTTTTATACCGCTCCGATTTCGAGATATCGACCAAAGTCCGATATTTTCAAATGAAACACCCTATATATTATTAGCTCATTGGATAGCTCTGTTTTTGCTGATTTCAATGATATAAAGTTCGATAGGTTTATCTCTAACAGTTTGCAAGAAAAAAAATCATATCTGTTTTTGTCGTAAGGACCAATGTGTGTTAGAAAAGGATTTTATATGTGTAAGGAAAATGAAGAAGGTCTCTTTCTAACACATTGTTTCTTATGACTGAAACAGATATAATTATTTTACTCGAAAACTGTTAGAGATAAACCTATCGAACTTTATATCATTGAAATCACCAAAAACAGAGCTATCCAATGAGCTATTAATATATAGGGTTTTTCATTTGAAAATATCGGACTTTGGTCGATATCTCGAAATCGGAGCGATATAGAAAAAAACTGAGTCCGCCACTGGATTGTGCTCAAAAAGTATCTCCATAATGTTTTAACACTAATAAAAAAAATTGATAAACAAAAAACTTATAGCCATTTTTCATAATAGGGGAAAATCGAAAATCGCCCTGTATTAATGGTACCATTGATGATATCGCGATACGGTTTTTGACAATCGACGTTTCTCGAAAATCCATCCCATGACATCGAAGTCTATTTTCCTCTATCTGGTCTGGAAGTATGTTTTTCCTGTTAAAACACTCCAAATTGCAGCACCCTGTACAGTCGAGTATTGCGTAGACATGAAGACATGTAATAAGTTGTGAAGTATAGATAGAAAAAAAAAGCGGCCCAAGGATAGAACCCTGGAGGCACACCACATGTCATCTCCACAGGCCTCGAAAGCCTGCCACTATGCTTGACCACTTGGTTTCGACCAGTGAGGTATGACCTAACAAGAAGCCTCGAATCATTGTCAAATCCCAGATAGTGAAGTATGCCTAAAAGAAGATTATGGTTGAGACGGTCAAAGGCCTTAGAATAGTCCAAGAGTACTAATGCCGTCAAATCGCCACGATCGGAGGCTTTCAGAATGTCATCCGTCACCTTTAAGAGTGCCGTTGCGCAGCTGTAATTTTTGCGGAATCCAGATTGGACAGGGGGCAGGATTTGATGGTGAACCACGTGTTCCCTCACTTGGCACTCAAGCACACAACTTCCTCGGTAATAGCCAGTCTAAATGCAAAGTTCTCAGCATTGAGCTTTCTATTGTTAAGGTAGAAGTCAAAGAAATCGAAGTCCAATTAACACAACAATAATTTATTCCACGTTACTATACACTCTGAGACTAATTAATACACTAATTAACTCTTTACAACTCTCAACAATAATCACTATCTAATCATATCACAGTCAATCTTAAACTTAAAAACTACTAATAACGGCCTTCATATATCCGCAATATATTCTTGTAGAATCCAGAATAAACGCGATAATCTTTTGCCCGAATAAAGCAGTATTTTCTAGATTTCAAGTTAGATTCTCTACATGCTGGCGAACGCGCCAAGCTCCACATTACCATTCTCATTACACATAATACAAATCACTGACAAAATAAACAAAACGTTCTTCAAACAAAAACAAATTATTTCAAAAAATTAAGATTCACACTCAACAAAAAGCAATTAAAAACATAATTATACAGGGTGTCCCAAAAAGATACCGACAAACTTTAAGGGGTAGTAGGCGACATCAAAACAAGCATTTTTGTTTATATAAACATATGTCCGCAAATGAGCCATTTGGGCTGTAGAGCAAAAAAACTGTTTGATACTTTTATTCTTCGTAATAATTAAATCACTGTTTACTTATTAATTTTGCTTTATTATCAAATAAATTATGGTTTACAATAATTGTTCAAAATGTTGACCATTTACTTCAATGCAAAGATTACACCGTCGGGTCATTGACTGAAAAGTTTAGTCTACGAAACACCTGTTCATAATGAGGAAGATCTGATAGCAAGGATACTGGCGAGTTGTACCCATGTAGAAGCTATTCCCGGCATATTCCAAAGAGTTCGCGAGTTGAATAATTATTGTAAACCATAATTTATTTGCTAATAAAGCAAAATTAATAAGTAAACAGTGATTTAATTATTGCGAAGAATAAAACTAGATACCAAACAGTTTCTTTGCTCTACAGCCCAAATGGCTCATTTGCGGACATATGTTTATATAAACAAAAATGATTGTTTTGATGTCCCCTACTACCCCTCAAAGTTTGTCGGTATCTTTTTGGGACACCCTGTATATTTTATGAATGAAATGCTGTATTTAAACGCCAAAACCTTGTACCTATACTTTGGAGCAAAAGGAAGTCGAAGTCTTTAAATTAAAAACGTCATTTTCTACCCCAAGAAAGTGAATGCTTCATTTGATATGGATAAAACTAAGCTTGTGCTGCATTTGTGAAGCAAACGCAGCAAAAAACTGAAAGTAGACCTTGAGTCCACTTTATTTTTATTTATATGCGTCACCAATGTGAACTAAAAACTAACTGGCCTCTAAAACAGAAGTCTAATATCATAGTTTTTTTTTATTAACTACAGTTGCTAGACCAACCATAGAACTAATGTCAATAGAACAAATACATAAATATTTCAAAACATTTTTTTATTGTCTATTAAATTTTCAATCAATTCAAGACATTACTATATTGGCAAGTTCAGTTATTTATTGACACTTTTTTGCAACTCATACATAAAAAAGTTTATGAAAAACACCAAACTTAAAAAAGGAGTGAGACCTTAATTCCTACACAAAAAATAAAAACAAGTATTTGGTAAAGTGAATTCAGTATAATGGTAATAGGTAAAACTAGAAAAAAGTATCGATCCACTGATCCCAGATATTAAATTAGAGTAGGTAGCTGAAGAATTATTAGGTGTATCAAAATTTTCTTCGCAGGTAATTATGATTTATTTGGAATACGAATAAATTCTCCAATTCTCCAAAAACGAAGAGGAAGATTTCGAATCTGGGGTCTCGCTACGGCGCCAAGTTTGCGCACTATCTTAATTTCACTCTATTGTTTTAACTACTTGAACTTTATATTTTTTTTAACATAAATTCCATAAACATTCATATACAGGGTGTCCCACAACATTTTACCCAGGTGATAACTTCGGAACGCGTCATCCAATGGTATTGAAATTTTGAGGATCTGGGTACAACTTTTTGTGCCGCTTCTACATGTGTCATGTAATTTCACCACTTTCGCTTCAGGGGTGCGATTTTCGAAACCATTCGAGTACATTTCGTACACGAAATTTGACTGCTCCCCATTTAATTTACATTGCTGTCAGTCAAATTTCGTGTACGAAATGTACTCGAATGGTTTTGAACATCGCGCCCCAGTCTCGGTTAAGTGACGGCAACTTTAGAATCTAATGTAACTTATGGTATATTATGGCATCATTTGCATTGATACCAACTGAAGGGCGCTATTGATTTCGTATATTGGCAATGTTGCCAATATAACAGATACCACTATTATTATATTGCTATATCCGAAACGGTAAGAGCTACAAAGGTCGGTTAAATTAGGGAAAAGTTGCCTTTTTTGATGCCCATTTAAGACTCGTTTACAGTGTAGTCAAATTTCTTTCAGTTTATGAAATACAGAGTGATTTCTAAGAAACGCCTAAAAATATTTTATCAATTATTTCGAAAACTACCTATTGATTTTCGAGACACAATTTAAATTTGAGAGTTTTATAAAACTTTTTTCGCTCTACAACATGGCATCTTCAATTTTCAAATCCGACGTTTCGTAATCTAGCTACCATCATCAACTTCATTTTTTTTAATACGGACCTGGATTTTTTATGTCAATTTCAGAAAGCGCCCTTTATTCCCTTTTCAACAATATACCTCTCAAGTATGATTGGCTGACGTTTCTGCTCTAAAAAGTGATCATCAAGGCCGAATTAAGGTAAAATTTTGGTAAGAATCATTGATGATCACTAGGTCCGTATTTAAAAAAATGAAGTTGGTGATGGTAGCTCGATCACGAAACGTCGGATTTGAAAATTGAAGATACCATATTGTAGAGCGAAAAAAATTGTAAAACTTTAAAATTTAAAATGTGTCTCGAAAATCAATAGTTTTCGAAATAATTGATGAAATATTTTTAGGCGTTTCTTAGAAATTTCATAAACTAAAGGGAATTTGGCAACACTGTAAACGAGTCTTAAATGGGCATAAAAAAAAGGCAACTTTTTTCTAATTTAACCTACCTTGTAGCTCTTACCGTTTCAGAAATAGCAATAGTGGTATCACTTAAAATATACACCCTGTATATAAAAAGGATTTGCCACCTACAAACGTGGCAGATACTTACAAATAATAGTCTTAGATTATTAGTCAGGAAAAACATTTGTTACTGAAGAAAATAACTAGCAAGCCGTTAGGCCAGCTTGTCATAATGCGCAATAATTTATTTAAATAGGGGTGGGAGTTGTGTAATAATTGATTTGTTACTCATTTGTAAAAGATATAGATACAAATAAAAACAGAATACATAGTAAAATTCATATTTTTCTCCTTGATTTTTTTCTCAAACAAGTAAAAGCCTTGGTAGTTGGTATCACTGACACCAAGTTAAGGTCGTCGTTTATGTTTATATGTAGTTATAAGTTTTCTGACGCGTTTTCTTTTAAAAAATGAATGTGCCAGAAGATATTGTTAATGAAGAATGAAGTAGCAGCCGTAGCTCACAGTTTTTCACTAGAAAAGTCTTCCAGGAGGTACCTACAAGCAATTATTTTTGTAACAAAACTGATTTTTTTCAAATAAATAATTCTACTGACTTGAAAAAGTTTTCACAGTTTAGCAGTCAAGTCAGTAGAGCCAGTAGCTTGTAAAAAATTCATCGTCAAAGTCAAAACATAAAGTTTTCACTTAATAAGTGACGTTTAGGCAGGCCGCACATCAAAGAAACATGAAATGTGAAACATCAAACATGAAACGTAAAACATGAAACAATAAATTACGAAAAGCGAAACCGTTTCTTTCTTGCATACTAATTGAAGAAACAAGAATAATGTTTTTAAAGTCTTTTGGTAGTGTAGTGGAGTATAGAAGGTAGCACACAATGAAAAGGGTTGACGAGCAACAACAACTGCTGTTATGGCAACTTTTCTATTATCGTCAAAAAGCCAAAAAAATAAAGGAAACGACATTACTGGGTAAATCCGTACAGTACTTTTCACTGTTAGGCAACATTTTGGCAGGCTTTTTCATATGATTGTCTATTCGAGTACTTCTCCATGTTATACTTATACAATTCTCCATCTTGCTCTACCACTAAAACGAACACAATATTGAATTCTTGGTCGTAATTAATTTTTTTATGACCAAAAACCGTGAAACTGAAACGGAAAAATAGAACGCGATCTATTTCATGAAACACGTTTCAAGTAATAAAAATCTTTCTCGCGCATGAAACAAATTCGTTTCATTGGTGGGCGGACTTGTATTTGTTTGTTCTTGTTCTATTTTCATGAAACGAGTTTCACGTTTTATGTTTCATGTTTCACGTTTCATGTTTCTTTGGTGTGCGGCCTCCCTTAGAGTGACCTTTGCTTATCCACGCAAATTGAAGCATTTGCTTTCACTACATACCATCTGCTTTGATCATTCTTTGATTCTTTATTCATATGTGTTTTTATTTTGACTTGACTCAATATATTATTGGTATTTGGCATTGGGGGTGCTACAGGAGCACTACTTTTTACCGTTACTGACTTGCTTATATTTAGATTACTACTATAACCATAAATCGATATAGGGAGACACTCTTTAAAGCCTAATTTCTTATAAAACCCTTCCTGTCCTTTTGTAGTCAAATAAATTACGTTTAAACCATTTTTTTCACAATAATCCTCACACATTTGCATTAAAATCCTACCAAATCCTTTGCCTCTTTCTGTTTGTCTTATTACAACACTTTCCATAAAACATCCATGCTTGATACTTGGAATTGAGCTGAGTTTTAAATGTCCAATGAGTCTTTTATTTTGCAAAAGAATGAATGACACTGGTAGATCGTCGGAAGAGGACTTCAAGCTGTGCAGTCGGGCTGTGAGGCTTCTTTTCCATTCGCTGTTTAGTAGCTCGCAGCATTCTTGAAGGTATTGTGGGTGTTTGTGCAAGGGAACTAGTGAAAAGTTCATTATTTTTGCTAGAAAATACCAAATTTAATAAGAATAATGGCTTATTTTAACTTACATCGTTTTTGTACTTTCCATTGATATTGATAATAAACTAGAGAATAATAACTGCTTAGAACTTGACCCGAATCAGGGTCACGTTTCCTATTCTACAAAAAACTGAAAAGAGCTACGTGGTTAGACCCTGCAGAGTAAATTTCATTCAATGGACGGTACAGATATTCTGTATTTTTAGTGTTTCAGCAAAGAAATGTTAATATTTTCCTAATCCAAAATCCAGCTGATGTTTGGAAGATTTATATAATTAGCCACTGATGTTGATTGCTACTGCTTGCTTAGCTTAGATAGCGAACTGAGTTTCAAGGAATCCTGATTTTTTCATCGAATGTCATCGTGGAAGAAGATATTTGGATTTGTCGAATTTTAAATTTTCTGCAAATGACTCAAAAACAAGAATTGAAAGTTCTTGTAAATTTACAAAACTGTTCTGAATCTCATGTTTTCATTTTTTGATAGTAATGAAAATTGTCAGCAGTTTTCCAAGCATTTCAAAAAATGTTAATCCTCAGATAGGTACTTTGGTAATTATTGGATATATCCCCACCAGAGAAATATATTATTTTTAAGAGAAATTTGGAATAAATTAGTAATAATGGACCGTATTAACGACAATAAAGGTGGAGGAAAGAAATTATATTCTAATTTTTTTTTTTTTTTGTTAAAAATTGTTTTTTCATCTGGTGGGGCTATATCCAATAATTAAGGGCCCCTTACGCTACGATGAAACACGACGGTTTTCATCGTGGTAGAAAACCGTCGTGTTTTTCTATTACACACTTCGGTTTTGGAACGACGTGTTTCATCGTGGCGATGAAAGCCGTCGTGTTTCATCGTAGTCTGTGGGGCCTTGTAGAAAACCGTCGTGTTTTTCTATTACACACTTCGGTTTTGGAACAACGTGTTTCATCGTGGCGATGAAAACCGTCGTGTTTCATCGTAGTGTATGTGGCCCTTTAGGAATGGGATAAAGTTGGCTATAGCTCAATAGCTCCACCAGAAATATTTACCATTCCTAAGAGAAATTTGAAATAAATTAGTAATAATTGACCATAGTAATGACAATAAAGGTGACGGAAAGAAATTATGCTATAATTTTATATATTTTTTTTGTTCAAAATTGTTTTATTTTCTGGGGGGGCGATATCTAAATATATTCTTAAGTACTGGTCATAAATGTACTGATTGATAAAAAAGCACGAAGCGCGCTTGTTTTTCTAAATTCAATATTAACATACAAGGACTAGTACGCATTATGTGGACAGGTTAGTTTGCATATTTTTGGTTAGTTTCGTTACAGTTCGTTTATTACTGGTTATAAGTGTACTGGTTAATAAATAATAACAAAATGGGACTAGTACGCATTACGTGGACGGGTTAGTATGCATATTTTTGGTTAGTTTCGTTACATTTCGTTTATTACTGGTCATAAGTGTAATGGTTAATGACAAAGCGCGCGTAGTGCGTTCCTTTTTCCGATCGTTCTTGTTTTTCTGAATTCGATATTAACATACAAGGACTAGTAGGTACGTATTACGTGGACGGGTTAATTTGCATGTTTTTGGTTGGTTTCGTTACAGTTCGATTATTACTGGTTATAAGTGTACTGGTTAGTAACAAAGCGCGCGAAGCGCGTTCCTTTTTCTAAATTCAATATTAATATACCTACAAGGACTAGTACGCATTATGTGGATGGGTTATTTTGCATTTTTCTAGTTAGTTTTGTTAGAGTTTAATACTGGTTATAAGTGTACTGGGGTGCTTTATTTGAAATTGATGCCACTTTGCGTACACGCAAATGACGTCATTTGCGATTAAAAATTGGTGTATGGCTTATTTGACATGCACTTTTTCAATTGCAAATGACGTATTTGCGTGTACGCAAAATTGCATCAATTTCAACTTTACCCTATTCAATGAGGAAGTTGCATAAAATTTTATTTTGATGCAAAATGTATTTAAAGTGAAGCAAAGTACTCTAGAAGTATATTTTTATATTCAAATCCTCTTTATACTGAACCACTAATAAATTATTAATTATTCAAATATTGGGGACAAAGGGCGCAAAAATGCTCTCAAATCGGTTATGACGTCATGGAAAAATAAACAAAAGTGAGGTTATGTTAACGTGACACGTGAGCCGTCAGACGCTTGTGTTTACACCTTTGAATATAAAACAACAGGAAGGAGCATAACCTGGAATCTGCGGGACCAGAATATGTGGAGGTTGCATATGGCCGACTAGTGTTTCCGGTTTGACAGTGGCGTATATTTATTTAAATATGATTGTCAGTATTATGACTCACTCTTTTCGCACTAATCCCAGTGCTTATTATCACTTAAAACCGCTAAAATCCATGAAACATCCACTTGAATGAGGACACAGCGAACCACCAAAACAAATGATGAGTCAAACTTGGAGGCTCAATATGGCCGCTTCCGTCCCTTTTTTGTTTGTAGTGACAGATAGACAACGCTCCTTCCTGTAGTTTTATATTCAAAGGTTTACACATCGAATTCTACCGATGGATCCACCCAATGAACTATAGCTAAAAACTGGAATTCGCACACATTGCCATATCTGCCAAAAAAATGAAGCCATGAAAGACAGATGCCACAAGGGGAATGTTGTTTTTTTCTGTTGCTCGCTGACATATGACGTTTTCGAAAGTTTTGTCATATTTCCCTTCACAGGTTTCATCAATTGGAATACGTGTTGGAAGCAATTTTCGCCATTTAACATAATGAGTGCGACAAAAACAGGTATCCCCTCTGCAGCAGCTGCACTAGGCTTCAAGTTCGTCCTTATGTGTTAGCATTCCCAGTGTTGTTCAAAGGTCACAATTGTGCCAAAAGTGAGCACTTTTCGCCCGCAAAATGCACGGTGGCACCACTTTGAAAAATTTGGCACGATTCACATTTATTAGATATAATCATTTTCAAATTTTGAAGATGAGAGAGACTAGAGCTGGAGCACTTATCTTTTTTCACGTGTCAAATCACGTGAGATCTGTCAAATTTTGCTCAGTTTGCTCACAGTTGCAATTACCGAACCCCTTGAGCCTCTATTGTATTTTTTTGACTGTCAGTTGAGTTGTCATTATAGTGAATTTAATATATGAAATATATTATATCTTTCTCCTTTTAATCATGTGATAAAAACAAATTGGTAAAAAGTCTCTCCCATCACTTTTTGTAGCGAATTCCATTGGTAAAAAAAAAAATATATATATTTTTATCTCTTCTTATACAAGCTGGTAGAAAAAGACACGAACACACAGAGTGCGCACTAACCCTTCCAATGGAATTCGCTATTAAAGTGGCACTATTTGGCACTATTTGAGTGTTGCTGCAGGCACACACGAAAATTTCCCAGGAACAACCCTGAGCATTCCAGTTTTTGGTTATAGTTCATTGGATCCACCATTCCATGTCCGTCATTGTCATTTTCCATTAGAATAAAAACGAGGGGAAACTTGACAACAATATAGGTCTGTTTCTGCAGAAATCACAAACCAGTCAGAGCGAATTTCATTGGTTGAAAACAGTCAAAAACAGTCAGAAAACTTGGTTCAACCAATGAAATTCACTCTCTGACTGGTTTGTGATTTCTGCAGAAACAGAGACCTAAAATAAACCACATGTCACATGACATAAAACACAATTGACAATGGGTAAGACAGAGAGGGAGTACAAGACTTGTTTTGACGGATACTGTTTTGTGACGTCACTGATTTACAACTGCTTTTTGGCGCGAAGAGAGAGATTTTGAATTTCTATATTTTTTTACAGAATAACTATTAGTTGAAAATTTGAAATTTATGTGGCAAGTGACTTTTTACAATGTGAAGAATCTAATAAGAGAATAAAAAAAAAATGTGCAAATTCCTCAGCCCCACCAGAAAATAATTTTTTTTTTAAACAAAAACAAATATAAAATTATAGTATAATTTCTTCCCGCCACCTCTATTGTCGTTAATATGGTCCATTATCACTAATTTATTCCAAAATTCCCTTAAAAATTGTCAATTTTTCTGGTGGGGCTATATCCAACTTTATCCCATTCCTAATTATTGGATACCGCCCCCCACCAGAAAATAAAACACTTTCCAGCAGAAAAAATTATATATTTGTGTGGTGGGTCTATATCCAACTGTTACTTTTCTCCGAGATTCATTTCGAAAGAAAGGTACAAGAAAAGCCCAAACAGACACAAATCACCACCAATGACCAAATCCAATTATCTTTTATTATGCTGATGATAATTTTACCACCCTGTAGGTACTATGTTTTATTGCGCTAAAAAATTCCATGGATAAAAAAATATATTTTTATTTGGAATAAGGGAGCAGAAATTTTTGGTATTTTTTTTAATTTGGACTAGTTTCGACTTTCGAGCGAGGTTATGTTAAAATTCCTTCCCTAAAGTCTCAACTCTCAACTTCATTGGTCTCAACGCAAGGTTCCGTCTCAACTATCCTCGGTCTCAATCGAACCAACATTAGTTTGTGGATTAACTATTAGGTATCTACTGAGAATCCGAATATAATCTCCAGAAAACAAGTTCAATAAAACAATTATTAACTCACCCAATGCAAACAATAACAATAACAATAAATTATTCAATTCAGAACTCTTAAGAATTGCATAACCCAAGGGCGAGTTCAGGAATGACACACCCAGTGTGAGTGTGACACCGGTGCGACGCCTTAGCGGTTCAAAAATGCTAGACGGTGCTATGGGCCCAATGGCCAATAGGCTCCTTGCATGAAATTTTTTTATTGCTGATTTCGATAGTCCTTGAAAAATAAGTCTACACGTGTTTTTTCTTTTTCTTGTTAGTCAAAAATTGACAGAGATACAACGCTTTGAAGTGTCCTTCCGACGTCATAACTTAGGTATAATACGTTGTGAGTTGTGACGTCGCACATGCTCAGTATATCTATATATATATAACTCAATATTTGTTATAACTTCCGAAATAATCATATTTGGACATAATAGAAAAACACGCATCGATTTTTTTTCGATTTCCTACAGTTTGCAATAAACAATATTCAATTTATTTTTCATGCAAGTACCCTCACACCCGGTGTGTTATTTCTGAACTCGCCCCAAATGACTCAATCAAAATAATGGGTACGTTCACCCTACTCAATCCCACAAGGTCGTGTCCGGGGAGCACGCTATTTGCGCTATGTGGTACAACTCTCTCTTCGCGGAGCAATTCTGTAGCACTATGTTAATAAAGCGCTTGAGTGGCGTCATTTTTTTCATCGCCTGTTAGCGCCATTTAGCTTTCGTGGACACTGTCGCTCCAGCTATTCTTGCTGCTTAATGATTTTTGTTGTTGTTTATTGATTCTTGTCGTGGTTCATTAATTTTTGTTCATTGATTTTTGTGGAGTTTTGTTGATTTTTTTTTTTGGGTTAAATTAACAAATTTGAAATAAAAACAAACATTCACATGTGGAATATCCTTGCATCTACACCACACCACGCTACGACGGAGCTTGACCGTGCCAATGCTCTAGCAGCTCCCCGAACAGGCAAATTAGCGGTTGCCCAGGGGTGCGTTCAAGGACGGCAATGCTAATGCCAAAACCTACTTTTCCCCCTCCACCTGTAATGCCGAACCACGTAGGTTGGAGCCGAACTCGAACGCAAAATGCCAATTTTGCCTTGGCTGTAGCCATTCCTGAACGCAGCCCTGCATAACGATTCATAGTTCAATTTAGAGCGACTACAGACCAAAGTAAATTCAAATTGGTATTTACCTCGGTTCTTGCATATGGTTATTGATGATTGCATGGTGGGGGTAGTCAAATAGACCTTACCTCAAGAATCGTAAACTCTACAGGATTGCTCAATCGGCTAAATTTGTTCACAATTGCTGTGACCTCACGTGCATCCCGGATTTTCAAGATGGCCGCTGATACGAATGATGTTCAGTTTGTGCTGACAATTATTTAATCGTAAATTCGAAGTTTATCAAGTGTTATAAGTATAATTTGAAGTTTAATTTAATGTGTGTACGCATAAAAGACTCATAGCTAAAAATACTCGCGGAAACCCCAAACATTTTCTGGTTTTAGTGGTTTTGTTGTATCAGGACATCGCTTTCTTTTATTCGTGTGTATTGCTTAGTTTTCTACTGTTAGTATTTCCTAGTCAAGCATTTGTATTGTTTTTTTTTATAAATCAAATATCTACTTACGGTGAGTTCGGCTTGCTCACTCCGTGCACTCGGAGTGACTCCATTCGCACTCCAGCCGTTCGGGTTAAGGTTCGGGTATTGCTTTTTACGGTATCAGGGGTGACTCCATTAGCTCTGTTCACTCCACTCCAACTCCGCGCTGAATAGCCGAACTCACCGTTAGTTGTAAGTTTCCTTTGCATGTAATTACTAAAAATTAGTGTTTGAAGAGTGAAAAAATAAATATGTAAATAAATTCCTTTACTGGCGCGTTTACTATGTAAACGCATGGAAAATATGGGAAACTTGCAATGTTTTTCTGGATTCTGATTATGAAAATCTAAACTAGGTATCACGATTTGGCTTCGTGAGCTAAGCTTACTTTGAATGTCCATATTAAATTGTTCTAGTACCTATCAAAGTATTGAATAATATAATTGAGAAGTAAGCAGAGATGACAGTAAAAAATGAAACACACTATTGCAACATTTCGCTTATATTTTGATAATGAAATGCAAAAAATGTATCTGCATTCGGTTTGTCCTTTTTTTTTACAAAAAAACTAGGTATCCACTCGTTTTGAATAGTTTTGGATACAAATTTTTTTCCTTTAGGAAAGCGATGAAATTTACATTTTTGACTGCTTGCTTTTCGATCAAATAGTTGTTATTACACCCATACACAGCATATCTCATTCCAGGCATATCTATCTATTTTATAAATGTACCGTGTTGTTGCCTTAAAAAAAGCTACCTAATAGAAATGCATGCACATTTCAATATAATATTTGTGTGGGTATTTTGAAATTACCTTGCTGATAAGCAAAAGCAAACAAACTCGTCTTCCTAATTAGCCAACCATTCAAGCCTCAAGAAAAGAAATAACCTCAAAATAACAATTTTTCACGTTTGAAAATGCAAGGAAAGTGCACTGTCATAATAAAACATAAACCGATCAAGGAATGCGTGACGTCATTCGCATACCGCCATCTTCGATGTTTTTATGAACGTTTGTCTTATGGGATTGAGCAATCCTGTAGAGTTTACGATTCTTGCCTTACCTATCTATTTTTACCTGGTAAGCGCGCGCAACACGAGGCAATTGCCTTTCCATTTAACTATCACAGGTGTGAGGTGTTCGTTTTGCACGCTGGGCATCTCCTCGTCCATGTTCATTGCCCGTGGTCTGACAAACCCAGTGCAAATAAGGACGGATTGTAAGTCTAACATAATTCGGTACGTTTTGCCTCGTCTTGCGCAATGAGCGTTCTGTGTCTTTTTTTATCTAATGAAGTTTTCGTATTATTACCTCTTTGTCTGGCAAAATAGATAGGTCTTTCAAGATGGCGTGGCGGCCAAACTAATTTTGTAGTCGGCTGCTGGCTGTTGTTTGTTCGGAGTTTTACAGTTTCATGTGGTTGAAGGTGTATTTGTGAGGGGTAGATCTGTTAAGACTAATACGACAAGACATAATCATTATACAGAGCCAATATTTGCAAGAAGCTGGTGCCCAGTCAAGATTATCCGCATCCTCTAACTTACTTGATTCTTGAACCTATAGAAAAGCAAATGATGATTAACAACATGATGCAAAATAGCACTTACTTCACTTGTCCTTGTTCATTGCCCGTAGTCTGACAAGATAAGAGTAAAAGTACGGTTGATATTCAACTTGACATAGCTTGACAAGTGACATTCAAAAGACTTTCTCCTTCCCTTTTTACCCCGTGCAAATAAGAAGGACGGATTGCTATACGTAAGTCTAAAATAATTTGGCACGTTTTGCCTCGTCTTGCGCAATGAGCTTTCTGTGTCTTTTTTTATCTAATGAAGTTTTCGTATTATTAACTCTTTGTCTGGTAAAATAGATAGGTCTATTATCACAATACACAATAGGCAATGCAATCAATATGGCGGCCTAGGTCAAAAGTGAAATTGCCGCCATTGGGATCATTTCAGTACTTTCAGACAACCGTGACGTTCTGTTATCAGAATAGTTATTTGTATACCAAGGCCGCGAAATGCTTTTTTAGCATCCGTAGAGAAAACTTATGGCCTTGGCCGCTTGCGGCCAAGGCAAGATAATCTTGAGGACGCTAAAAAGTTTCGCGGTCATGGTATACACACTATTTTTTTGTGCAACTATTAAAATTATGTAAAGTTACAGAAAAACCACCGGCGTATACAAGGGGGGGGGGGGGTAATGGGGGTAATTACCCCCCCCCCCAAGATCGTTGCGATGGAAGAAAAAAATTTACCCTACACCACACAAATAAATCTATTTTTTATATTTTTACTTTTCAGCAACCGGCTAACTTGTTTTCTAGTTTGCACAGTGTCCGCACTGCCCGCATGCCATTTATAGTGAATTCTATTCAAAGGAATAGTGCACACTGAGTGTATTCGTATCTTTCTCTACTAGCTTGTATAGGAAAGAGATAAATACATTTTTTGTAATAATTCTTCCAATAGAATTCGCTATAATTAAAAAGTTTTAGGGGAATCTCATAGCAAATTCCATTGGTAAAATCAGTGCAAAAAAATGTATTTTTATCTCTTTCTTATACAAGCTGGTAGAATAAGATACGAATACACTCAGTGCGCACTAACCCTTATTCCAATGGAATTCGCTATCAGAGTTCGGTTTCGTTATTTGTTGGTAATACAGAATATATTTACCTAAAGCCTAGTACTCATTACTGCGAAATTCGCTTTTTTTTGACATTGCTTCGACAATTTGACGTTTGATACACGCATAAAACGTCAAATTGTTAAAGCAATGTCAAAAAAGTGCGAATGTCGCAGTTATGAGTAGGTACTAGGCTTAACAAGTGCGGAAAATGAATTTTTCCGCACGTTTGAGTCTGTCGTTCACCGAAAGACGCGTAGCGGAATTTGGTGAAGCAGCCGAATTCGGAAAACAGATTTTCCGCATGTGTTAGGCACAATAGTTTTTCTACAGACGTGCGGAAATAAGTAAGTACAGTTGCGATCAAAAAAAAGTAGTACAACCAAAAATCTCCAAAATCTCCTGGTCTATCATACAATAATTAAATTTATAACCAAAAATGACATTACTTTGGCATTTTTCAACAAGTTTTCAAACTACAGAGCTTCGGATGACATTATTTTGGCATTTTTCCACCCGTTTTTAACCTAGAATATGTCATCGCCTGAACCCAACATATTTTAAAATGTTTATTTACTGTCAAAATTTTGTATGCTACACCGGGAGATCAAATTGGGGTTAATAATTCTTGTACACCTTTTTTTTGATCACAACTGTACATATACCTACATAATTTGTAGTAATTTATTGTTTTTTTTTTGTCAGCCGCGCGGAAAAGATTTTTCCGCACCGATATCCGTGCGGAAAAAATTTCGCCGCACCGTGCGAGATTCTCGCAGCGAGAAAATCGATTTTCCGCACTGTTTAATTGTCCTCACTCTCGTAGAAAAAAAATGTTTTGAAGGCTCAAAGTAAACGTTTTTGGGCGTGGCACCTGGAAAAAAATGGGCTGATTACCCCCCCCCCCCCAGACGCATGGGCTGGATACGCCGGTGAGAAAAACTGTATGGATTTGACACATTTTGCACGTAAGGTGTAGCGGCCGCGAAAGCTCATTTCGCGGACGGTTGCACAGAAAACTGTTTTCTGTGTATTTTCTGGTATTTTAAGGTGATTTTTCTATTGCTTGAGGATAACTTTCGTATTTTAAGATGGAGAGTCCTTCAGTACACACATATCTTAAGAAGTTAGGTATAGGAGCAAAGTCCAAAGCTGGAAGCTGGCGTAGGCCGCGTTGGCCGAAGGTATGCTAAAATTCAGCTTAAATTCTATATGGGTAACAGTGAAGAAAAGTTCCGTCAAAGAAAATTTAATATTTATTTATCCATACAGCTGAATTGAATGCTAACAATTAATTATATATGAATAAAAATTGGGTTGAGTAAGCAAAAAATGGAAGAACTGATAAAAACCAACCCATACTAAACCAAAAACTTGTGTAGTTCTGTCTTTTTGCGGATGACTGGGATAACCATTAAAAAGCACAATAAGCCCTAAGACGAATCGGTAATTCTTCGTTAAAAACCTGGGTCTTGTATCTGCAGGATTATAAAACGATTTATCATGATATGAACTGCTTCCAGAACCAAATGCAATACAATATATATCGCAGTCCTTTTCCAAAAAAAAACCTATTTTACATCAATCAAAAACCGCAATATAGAGCAAAAAAAACAAAGGCACATCAGAGAAGAAAGATGTTTCATCCATGCCACCATATTTAATTCAATTTATTTTTTGACAGGTCGTTGAATTACCTGGGCTGGGACTCTGTATCGGATAGAGATCGTTATCCCCATCGCTATGACGCTTGCTGTCTTTTTCTCTCTTTTCGAAATCAAAACACAGGGGACGTCAATAGAGATAGAGAAAATATTTCTATTCGTTACAGAGCCCCAGCCCTGGAAGCCTAGGTATAATATTTTTAATTCGAATTGAAGCACTAAAAAAAATCTAGTCGGTATACATCAAAAAAGTATAGGACATGGGCGTCACATAATTTTTATTTCTTTAAATGGTAATAATCAATATCAAAAAACACAGGTAAATTATACGTGGAATAAAACAGCAAATAATATATAAATTGGTATGACACTGGTTATAGAAATCGCGTAGTCTAGTCAGCAGATGCACTGGCATCCTTCATGGAAAGTCGTAAGTATAGCCCACCCCAATATTTGAACCTATAGGCGCGTGCCGACCTAAATTACTATTTTAGGTTACTGCAGCGATATTGCCTTGCTGCCTTTATTTTGTACAGGGAACGGTATATAAACTACAATAGATTTTCTGATTTTTTATGCAGTTAATGGAAGAGAGTGACAAGTGACGTTATGATGAAAAAGCTTCGTATAATGCAGTGTTTCAAATCAGAATAAAAATACTATACCGATCCCGAACCATGATGTCATACAGTGACTGAATACACCTTTTCTACCTACAGTGGCGACAATAGAGGTCCCACCGCCATATTCTTGCAAATTTTGAATAGGAATTAAAAAGTAAGCCACGCCCCCCGCGTATATTTTTCCTCATTTTCAATATGAATATATAGGATTTTGAAGAACCAATCAGAAATAGAACGGAAATTGTCGCAATTGTGGTTTATTGATGTCAAAACTTACACCGTCATCTGTTAGAAACTTATGGAACCGAAAATTAATATGTACACACTATTGCCGTATAATAAACATTTTTAATTTATAATAGACTAGCTAATGACCCGCTGCGTTGCCAGCGTGAAAATACATTTTGAAATAATAAACTTTTTTTCAAATTTTGTTGTTGATTTTCTATTTAATTTTTTTTTTTTTTTTATCCGATACTAGAGTCGCTTGCCAGTGAGTTCCGTGACGCATTTTAAGCACTCCAGAGCTGTTCTAGAGCGCTCCGGGCTGCTTATAGGCGTTCCAGTGTATCAGAGTTTCGCGCAACCGAACTTTTTTTTCCGGATAAAAAATAGCTTATAGCACTTTAGCCAAATTCGATTGACCGGATTAGATCGATCTGGTTCAATTTAAGTGAACTACACTGTGTTCGATTGGGGATGTAGTCCGGGAGTTAACGACATATTTTATTGTACCATTTCCGCAAGCTTCATTCTTTTTCTATGTGCTATGCGTGTGGTATATGATACTAATATGAACGTCTGCCGGCGCACCCTCACGACAGGGGGTTACAGGAAGGTTACAATTACAGCAAAAAATTTACGAAAAAAACTTATAGCCGCACAAGTGAAACTTATTGTACGTATTGGTAGAAACATAGAAAGCTTAGAAAATATCGTCTGCCACCTAAATTCTACGACAAAAGTCGTCTGCCACCCACAAGAATAAGCGCAAAAAAAATTTAAAAAAAAATTATACCCGCAAGGCTGAAATTAATTGGACTACTTCTTTTCATAGTATCAAAGACCAAAATAATAGTCTGCCACGAATAAGATACAACGAAGATCGTCTGCCAAGCCTCTGAAGTTGGGTTTAACATGCAGTGCCCGAGCACCACCGCTAGGGCGCTGCATCTGTCTCTTATTCCTATCTATTTTATTTTTTTTGTAATAAGACTAATCAGAATGAATTGTAAAACGCTCAAGTTCTAGGGTTTTTAAAGAGATTATGGAAGGACTCATCGCGTACACTTAAAATTGATTTTGAATAATATTGATGAAATTCGATGAAATTATTGAAAATGAAAATGAGCAATAATTACAGTTTTACTTTACAACAATAACTTTGTATTTTTTTGACACTGCCATAAACTTCGAATAACAAGCTGAGTGGTATCTCTGATAGTCATTTACTTCTTGAGGTAATATAACGTAATTCAAATCTAAATTCTTCTCCTTACGGATTGTGAGAATATTTTCACTTGTATTTAAAGTAGTGGTGCCGCGAGACAAGACTAGACGAGACTTAGGGTTTGTCTCGTCTAGTCTCGACATCTCGAGACGAGACCGTGATTTAGTCTCGGTCCTGAGTACCAAAGTCTCGTCTCGTCTCGAGTGGTCTCGTCTCGTCTCGAGCTATACAGGGTGTCCAAAAAATAGCGTAAAAACTCTTCTTTACGTGATGGAGGACCCTACAAGGAACCCCAGAAAAATACTTTAAAAAATCTAGTGGTATTCTTAAAAAAGTTATTTGCATTTTAATATTTATTAAAATTGGCAACGCTGAAAATATCCCATTGACAATATGTCAGAATTAAATTAATTACCCATGTAACTACCTGAAGAATTCGAAGGTGAATTTTCACATCTACCTCTTCATATTACCAAGAATAATGCTGGAGAAGGATTTTTTTAATTTAATTATTTTACTAGGGTTTCTCAAAGGGTCCTCTGTCCTCTACTACGTGGAGAGTTTTTACGCTATTTTTCGGACACCCTGTATTTATGGTTTTTGTTTTTTTATTATAACGGAAGTCCAAACTGCCACAGTGAAAAAGCAATTAGTGAAAAATCACAGTAAAGAGTGACCCTGATATTTAATTTACTGATTTCATAAAGCTATGAAAGAAAAATTCTAACTGTAATCTCGAGATTCGAGACTACACGAGACTCTTGCCAAGTCTGGTCTCATCTCGTCGAGACTTCACAAGACGAAACCAAAAGCCAATCTCGTCTCGAAAAGCCGAGACGAGACGAGACGAGACCAGTCTCGAGTCTCGCGGCATCAATAATTTAAAGTATGAATGCCAAACTTTTGCAATTTTCCTGTTTTTTTTTTACAAAAAACAAAGTGAGGCTTTACTCCAGACATTTCAAATTTGCACGCACTTTCCACAAGACTTCTATACCTCAATTTATGGAGACTCTGTGAGACCCTGCAATGACGCTACTGACAGTTGACAGTACTGCCAAAAAACAACTTCAAAAATTGCGCAATTAGAGGCGCCATCTTTAGTTTTTTTTCACAAAAATTCTATGATCCCCCATATGCCGAACCTAACTTCATAGGCTTGGCAGACGATCTTCGTTGTATCTTATTCGTGGCAGACTATTATTTTTGTGTTTATTGATATGAAAAGAAGTATTTCAATTAATTTCAGCCTTGCGGGTATAAATTTTTTTAATATTTTTTTTGCGCTTATTCTTGTGGATGGCAGACGACTTTTGTCGTGACATTTAGGTGGCAGACGATATTTTCTAAGCTTACTATGTTTCTACCAATACGTACAATAAGTTTCGCTTGTGCGGCTATAAGTTTTTTTCGTAAATTTTTTGCTGTAATTGTAACCTTCCTGTCACCCCCTGTCGTGAGGGTGCGCCGGCAGACGTTCATATTAATATCATATACTACACGCATAACACATACAAAAAGAATGAAGCTTGCGGAAATGGTACAACGAAATATGTCGTTAACTCCCAGACTAATGGATCAGTGCACTTTCATCAACAAAAAAATGATCTAGATCAGAAGAAGTTCACTTAAATTGAACCCAAATCGATCTAATCTGGGTCAATCGAATTCAGCTTATTTAGAGATACGTGGTATTAAATTCAAGATCGGTCCAGCCGTTCTCGAATTCAAAAAATAATAAAGTTACGTCGGTTGAATGGCAAGCCCAAATAAATGAAATATGGCAACGTTGGTTCATGCTGTTAAAAAAAAGTTGGGTTATGTTGTTATGTAATGTGAATGAGTTTGTTTACAATTAAATTAATAATTAATTCAAAATTAATTTCTTTTTCCGAGATGCGTAACCTATCCACAAACCTTCCTTGGGATGGCCATAACAATCTACCAAAGTTTCATCGTAATCGGATAAGTGGTGTAGGAGCGCATACCCCGCGAATATTGATTTTTATATATATAGATATTGAGGTCAAAAATCGAGATAAAATCTATCCTATCTCTATCTCTTAAGTTGGACCAAATGACACATAGAGAGCCAAATTTCATCCAGATCAGTTTAGTAGTTTCGGAGTTCATCCCGGACAAACATTCTGATAAGAATGTTTTATATACATATATATAAACATAAATAATATTATTAAATTCCTTTTTCCTTTTTATCATAATGGGCACCGAATCCGTACCTGTAAACCTTTAAGTGGGTTTAGGGAACTGATACCTACACAATAGAGGCTAATAGGTAGGTAATTTATGGCAGGGTTTTATAGCCGAGAATTCAACAAAATAATTTGGAACGGATTTTATCATAATAATCATTCAATGGATCTATGCATTGGTAAAATAATATGCCGAAACTTAATTATTATATTTTGATTCCAGAAACTTGTTTTTCAAAAAAACATTTATCTATGTTAAAATAAATTTGGTACAGTGGTGACGAAAGAAAAAAAGGTGGATCAAATTAAAACAGCAACAGCTTGAAAACAAAATGAATATTCAGTCTAGGCTTCCGGCTGCATAAATAACGATGGAGGGGTTTCAGTAAGCCTATTAAAACAAATAAAAAATAGATTATTTATAATTGATTAACATATAATTGAATAATACATCTTGTAAACAAAATAACATTTGTATTTCTAAAAGGCCCCACACACTACGCCGCCACTGCTAAGAGCTGCGACTTGTTCATCACGAACGCGGAAAGTAATCGCGTAGTGTGGTGAAAACAGGCTGACGATGAAACACGACGTTGTTAATCGCGACGATGAGAACCGACGAGACAGAACGTAGTGTGTGGGGCCCTTAAAATTAAACGGTCAATATAATCATGATCAAAACCAAATATAAATTCAGTAAAACTAGGTAATTCTATTTATATATCTGTAGGTATAATGAAAACAAAATGAAATATATTAGTAAAAAGTAAATTAGATAAAAAAAATAAAGTTGAAACCTAATAAATATGTTTTTTTTTTCTATTTAAATCTCAAAAACACATTGATAATGGTTTTAGTACATTGTGCAAAATTTTTAACTGAATAAAAAAGAGAGACAAAAACAAGTAACAGCTTGAAAAATTCACGATCAAGAAAATTCAGGATTCCATACCCGAAGTAATTTCAAGTTATGCAGTAGGAACAGAAACTGGTGAGGAGGGAGGTATGGAGCATTGAAATTACTCAAAAAACTATTAAAGAGCACTAGATATTGTAGAAGAAATTAGGCTTGAAATAAAAATTCAGAAGTTAAACAAGTTTTTAGCCATTTAAAATAATTCTTAAAGGGGGTGTGACCTTAAAATACAACTTGCCTTCAAAAAATAATGAAGAAAACCCTAAAAGCTCTTGTGAAAATCTCGCATCGCTACCCAAAATAAAAAGGTAGATACGCCTAAATAAAGTTTTGTCTAGTCATCGCGTGACATCATAAGCACACGCAAAAATTACAAAACCTATTCAAACTGACGCAGCGAAAGGTGTGAGACGGTGAGAACGCAAAAACAATACGATAATAGTTGTATTCCTTTCACACCTAGGAGGAGCTCCGGAACAGCTCCGGGGCTTCACGCGCTTATTCCTTTCGAAAAATTTTTGTTGCACCACGCATCTGTTCCCTGCAAATCGGGGGCGACTAAACACCGGAGCGAGTAGTTCGAGTGTTTCAAACTCTTGAAAGGAATACAACTGATGTCGATAATATATGACGCAAGCATGAGCAAACGCGCGCCCAGCGCCGGCCGGCGGACTCAACTAGTGCATATGACGTCATAGTGCTGGAATGGGAACTTTATACCAAGGTATCTTCGCAACTGTTGGTCGTAGCTTAGCGCGGTTTGAAAATTCTTAGATTTTTTTTTTCTAAAACTTTTATTTCTGGGTCACACCCCCTTTAAGAGGGCTGATGCGACGCACATAGGGATGACTGTTAATATGAACATAATAGTTATTTACAAAACTCATAATATAAAATGCAAGGTGTATATGTTTGAAAACAGATTCGACAGCCTATTTTTGTTGAACTGATGAACTTTTATTAACTATACCTTATATTCATGGAGTGTCGCAGCCAACGAAAAAGACCGGCCATGGCGCGTTAGCACTTCTGCGCAACATCTCAACATTTTTCTTGGTTTACTGAGCCCTTAGCTTTTAATTTTCCTTTGAGTGTCATCATATTTCCTTGAATTCTTATCCAGGGATTTATATACATGCCCTCAAACTGATTTTCTCAAGTTCTTACAATAGCTTTTCTCCACATACTTGCTAGGGTTAGCGGGGTTAGGGCTACAGAGACAGCTTTTTCTGTTTAAAGCCGTTTTACAGCTTGCAAGAAAACTTGCATTCAAGATTTCTTGCATGTCGTTTCACACCTTGGAATAGGGAATTTTCATATTTCTCAAATTGTTTTTTTTTAGATACTTCTAGTGATCAGTTATTACATAGTTTTCTTTTTTTCCATGTTAATTTATACGTTGTACGAAAAATTTTTTATTGAAATTCAAATAAAAAACTTTGGCGCGAAAACACAAAATCTCAATATGACAGCGCTTGTGACGTTAAAATTTTGTAAACAACAAATATGCAGTTAACAAACTCCTGCTGACGCAGTGCTATTTTTGTGTTATTCAAGTGTGTTAAAGTTTGGTTTTTGTGAAAATTGTCGCAATGGATGAAGAATATTGTAAAGGACTGCTTTTGTAAGTTTTTTTTACTTGCAAGTTCCGTATTGACAGGTTTGTTTACAGAATCGTGACGTCAAAAAAGGTAGCCATCATGGAAGCATCGTTTTGGCGGGAATTTTTTTATTTCAAATTTAGTATTATTTTTTGTGTAAGAAGGGCGATATCAGTTAAATAAAAACTGGTCATATGAATATTGTGCAGTATAAACTATCGATTTAAAACAAATTTGGAAAATTTTAGTTCACTTGCAAGTTCCCTATTTGACCTATTTCTTATTTCCTTCTCTAACCTTCACCATACTTTTTTGTTTTTAATTTTGTGTTGTTGATGTTTACATTTTTCAAGAATGAAAAAAGTGATTATAAGTCGATATAAAAAGAAGAAAGCAATAGCAGCCACTTTAAGCATCATAATTGCTAAAAATTCCCCAGCTTGCGCGAAAACCCTTCAAGAAAATTGGCACCAAACCGATTGCATGCAATGCCATTCAAGTTTTAAGAATCTTGCAGAAAACAATCAGCTGACTCACTTCTGCGCATGCACTCGTTCAAGTTTCTTGCATATTGCAGATAGAATTGCAAGCTGTAAAACTGCCTTAAAAGATTTAACAAATTCGAACATATATTGCATTTTTTAGGACGCAATTCCTTTCTTGAAGCATATCCGGCAATATATGCTGAGATCGGAAGTTTTTTTCTGGTATTCTTCCAATCAAAAAATTCCTCATAATATCATGTAACAAATCTAAAAAATTATCAAAATATTTACCATTTAGATTGTCAAGGCCCGCGTCCAGTAAACTTGATGCTACTAAATAGCATCTAAATTAGCTGTTTAAAATGCGGGATATGGCCATAACTTGTTTTCCATGAAGCGGGCCACAAGAGACGTTTCAGTTTTTGCTTGATTTTAACATTTCCTTTCGTTTTTATTATTTTTAGAAACTTTGTTTTCGTTAAATCTTGTCTTTTCTAAATTATATTCAGTGTATATTGGAATATCCTTGAGTTTTTGATATTTTCAGAAACATTCTCTTCGTTATTGATAATTATAAATGTTGATTGATGAATACGTCCAGTTAACTGAAATGGTGGATGGGACATTTTAGTTACGATTATTAAAATATCCCAACGTCCAGTAAAATGGACATTCACTTACAGCTGTCAAATTGATAGATATCTTACATTGGATGGCTAAACAATGTATCTGTATAATAAATGAATTTGAAATATATACTATTATTTGCTTTTGGGCCCAGAGGCGGAATTCTGTAACGGATGAAGATCGTTATCCATATCGCTATGGCACATGCTGAGTTCTTTTTTCTTTTTGAAATCAATAGAGAGGGGACGTCAATAGAGTTAGCGAAAATATCTCTATTCGTTACAGAATCCCAGCCCTGGTAGAAGTTCATTCAATTTACCGTGGCACTCAACCTGTTTTAACGAATTTTTCTTTTTCTCATAAAGTTGTTCTGAAAATTTAAAATTTGCTTTAAATTTTTTTTTTTGTGAAATCTCTTTCTGAAAAATTACTGTAAAATTCAGGATACACAAATATACTATTTTTGACTCTATTGGTTATCCACTTATTCCTGACATCTGATTTTTAAATGTGTACAAAATCACATATAAAAGATAATTTTCTTGAAGGATCTAAAGGGTGAGTTATGCATACATTTTACCTTTTGCACCTTTTAATAGGGTAGTGGACAATTTTTTGAATTATTTTTTTTATTAATCTCCATAACAAAATAAGTAGTAGTTGATGATTCTTTGATTTCAGAAAACAAAAATAAACCTAAAAAAAAATTAACAAATTTTTACCTATTTTAAACGCTATAATTTACCGCCCGGAAATTACATCATAGCTGTTGTTTCTGACATTAATAAGAGTGGCGAGAGTGCGGTCTGCGCGTCCTTATATTTTATATGCTTTTAGAAAAAGATGCAGATAAACTTAGACCGCTCTGATTGACAAATGGAAATCTCTCAAAAAGTGGGGTTATGTTGAGGGTGCGCCTAAATGTAATTATACCCGACAGACGCTGATATCTCTCTCTTTTGCACTAATGAGTAAGTGTGTGTCGAATATAGGACCAAGGTTTGATTCATTCCATACTCAAATACAGCAGTTATGACGTAAAATCAAGGCGCGAAATATTTTCGTTTGAATAGTGTGTCCCAAAACTCTAGTTTCATAGCCGTTTTAAACAGAGTTAGAATATTGTTCTGAAATTTCTTTTGATACGAATATTTTTTATTTACTTCATAGACAAAGAATGGGCCATCGATTTCATCAAAATTATACCTTGTCCACTACCCTATTGATCAAATTAGTAGGTACCTAGATTAAATTAAAGTTGCTCGGAAAAGAGCAATGTTCACAATACGATGTAAACGCACAATACTAAAACACCTGTTTAACAATAAAAGCTAGCGGCGTTTATTTTATTACTGGAAGTCCTACTGTCACGTGATATTCACCCGTCAGGGCCGGTCTTTTTCGTTGGCTGCGATTGGGTGTGATTGTTTGAGTTCTACGTCTGTGTTTTTGACCTACTGAAACTAACCTAAATAAATATAGGTTAATAGTAACTTATTAACTCATCTAATATAATAGTTATTTATATTACTAGGACAGTATGAGCTTCATTACAGTAACGAGTGGGGAATATTGCCACGAGGTCGTAGACCGAGTCGTGGTAACCACATGAGTGTTGTAATGAGCCTTACCATACGTGTGATATACATTTTATCTAAGGCCTGCACAACAAGCGACTATTGTCGTTTGTCTATTATAAATAACGATTGTGTACTCGATTGTGTAGTTATATTGAAAATAATGACCTCTTACCGCACTAGTGCGATAATGAACGCGTTATGACTCATTACCGCAATAGTGCAGTAATAGGGCTCATTACATAACGCAAATGAGCAAAAATTAGTGACATAATAATCACTTATTGGGCAGGTCGTAGATAAATATATATACATATGTACTGAAAAAATACAGTGCAACCTCGTTAATCCGAACATCTAATTATCAGACCCCTTTTTAGATCAATGAATATACAATAAAACTTTTTTCAATTCAATTCAATTCAATTCGCAGTAGTTTATTCAAGATTCAAAAAAAAAGTTACGATAGGTCTCTAAGAAATAAACAAAGACACAGCAAAGGAATTCCGCTTATTAGTGCTGTGCAATTTGGTAATAAAAATAGGAAACAATATAAAGTCCGTCGATTTTAATCTGATACTCGAAAGGAATGTGAGCTGGTGGCACCCTACATTAGAACGCCAATGGTCACCTGACATCACACCTGTTTTTGCCATATACTTCACCCCCTCGCTCTTGATACGGAAAGTGTCAGATTAAAAACGACGGACAATACATAGTTTACAATTTGGAGAACATTACGCTGTTTCTACTTTTGGGTAAATTGTCACTTATGGGTGAATTGTCACTTTTGGGTAAATTGTCACTTTTCGGTAATTAGCCACTTAAGTAAATTGTAATTTTTGAGCATATTTATAATTTTTGAGTAAATTGCTCGCGTTCACCAGCACTCAACATGTTGAGTGATTAGTCAGTGGCTTTGTTAAAAACAGATGAATCAGCTCTAGGCCAATCAAAACTGTTCTATCTTGTGTATTCCACTTGTTGGAACAAAGCCGCTTACTAATCACTCAACATGTTGAGTGCTGGTGAACGCGACCATTGTCACTTTTGAGAAAATATTGAGCTAAAACTATTGCTACTTAAATTTGCACCCATTAAGTTTGAGTTTATACAGGGTGTTCCACTATAGACCTTACGGCTTCAGATTTTTTTTTCTCCACTAAATCGGCCAAGAGACATTGATGGAAATTATTTTTAAGTTTCTAAGATGACCGCTATTATATATTTCAAAAACAGTTGACACATACAGGATGTCTCATTTAAAATAAGCAAGTTGACGTCTACTTCCGGTATAACCTGAAGTGCCACCATCTTGAAAATATTTTAGCCGGGTTGCCCCCATTGATATTAGTATACTGACAAATTTTCAAAAATTTTCTGCATACAATTTTTCATACTATATAGATCGATTTGGTTCCCGGTGGGACACCCTGTTTATATCTATCTCCAAAAACAAAAAAGTTTTCTCGATCGAGTGTTTCTGGCTGCAATTTTAAAAATTTTCGTGTCACCAACTTAGAAAAAATATATTTTGGTGACTCGTAATTTTTTTTTCGCATTTCTTTTATGTCAGTCATGATAACAAAGGTCTAAATTGGCTCTCTCAAAAATTTCAATTAAATCGGACTAAAACTAAGGAAGATACAGGGTGTTAAGTAAAAATTTGAAAAAATCCATAAAATTTAAGATTTTTTGGAAAATGCGGGTTGTGACCAGTTTTGCAATTCCAGATTGACTGGCGAACTCCAGAATCGGATCCGCCAGGCCAATTTACATAGGAATCATTTTTTTTTGGGCGGTTGATCGCGAGTGGTATAGAGGGTCCTAAAAACGCATCGTAGAGGCAAGGATAATACACACTACTACTACAGGATAGCCTATCCTCATAAGGCCTGTGTAGAACAAATCTGTAGCCCCCCGCTGCGCCAAATCACCAGTTGTGACGTAGGCAGAATGTCGTTTCTCGCCTTGACGTAGGCTGTTTGCACCACAGGTTATGATTCCGCGGGCTTTTACTTTATCATACTTGGTTTTACTACATTAATTAACATTCTAAAACATCCATTTTTTACATCTCGTTTGCATCTTCCTGTTTGACTATTATGTTAATCAAAATAAAATAATATTTTTCATCATAAATTTAAATTCTATACTACGATCGCTGGCTCAAACAGCTGAAGTCGCTGGCGACTTATGACGTTGGCAATGGTGATACACCAATATGGCGGCGATAAGCAATCCTTAGTAGTGTGTATTATCTTGGTCATAGAGGTCCCTCGTTCTATGACTAATAACTATTTTAAATAAATTATGCACTGTAGCTCTATTTTGAATACATAGAAAATTTTTTACTCTAAGTTTAAAACAGTTTTTATATATTAGCGCTTTCAGTTGATTTGGTAGGGAATTGTAAAGTTTAGGAGCCATATAGAAAAAAGATTCGTGATGAATTTCTTTTTTGCTTGGTGGCACCACTGCAAACCGATCTCGTTGCCTTGTGTTATATCTGTACATTAGATCTATGTATATTGGTTTCTATACATACTACTTCTACGCATCACGATTTGCGTTAGGAATAGGGTGGGTTCGGATTATCGAGGTTGCAATGTAATTCAGAAAAAAAAAACATATTTTTGGTCAAGGTAGTGAGCAACAGAGATGTTGTCGACACCTATTTTTGTTTATAATTCCGTATGATATGACGTCATTATGCCTGTTCCAACACATCAAAAACCGTCTCATGAACGGTTTCCTGCTGTGTCAGAACAAAGTTATTGCGTACCTGTTACCATACTAGTGATAAGGTTTTAATTTGCCATTTTTAAACCGCCGGTGCAGCACAGGACTTTCCCTATCAGATATATCCGATTCAATGTCTTTATAGGCATCAGGGTGGTAAACTCCTGTAGATTTAGCTTGCTCCAGCAGGTTAACTAACGAAAACAGATAATAATAATAATATATTTAATTTAAGACAAATAAATCACTCACTCTGTCCTTCCAATAAACTATTCTGTCTTTTAAGGTCCTGAATGTCTTGCTGATGTGAGCAGTTCTTTTTTCGCATAAACACAATATATTCTGCGGCCTTTTTCAATATTTGAGCTCTGCTAGCCTGAAAATCAATGAAAAATGATATTTTCCACAAGCAAAATTAGTCTTAATTAAGTACCTTTTCTCCACTTAATGATGGCACAGAGTCCCTAAGGCTACTGAAACTGTCTTTTATATGATCGCGACGTTTGCGTTCCAAAGCGTTGTGATGCGCACGTTTTTCCGCCTAAAACGTTTAAATAAATAAATCTAAAAAAATACTATCAAATACTTGCCCATGTTATTATCGCTTCACCCTGTAGTGGAACATAAATAAATATGATTGTAAAAATAATCAAAATAATAAAAAACAAAGGGTTATATCTAGTAAAAGGATATTTACCTGTGAATAATATTGGCCGCCTACGGAGTTTCTGGAATTGCTAAGCCTTGTGTCAGAATCATCATCCTTTAAAAATGTCAAAGAAAAGTGTCTTAGATATAGCTTAGGATTGGTTAAATTGACAAAGACTTATCTTTGCCAAAAAGCAAAGGAAATTGTGTTATGAACATGAAACTTATATGTAGTTGTTTTTGGGGTCCTTTTGTAGGTATAAAACTTCAAAAAGGTCAAAATCCGATTAGTATTTTTCTAGATATTCAAGAAAATCTACGTAGGGATATTTCCTCGGATATTTCCTATGCATAGCATAGCAGGACCTAAGTACTTTGATGAGCTATATCTGCTATCACAGACATACGATCCTCTTTACATTTCAATTTTTTTCTTGCAATGATGATACCTTTAAAATATTGGAATTTGGTTGAAATTTACAATGTGAATTGTGCCTCCTTCCACAGAAAATATCAAAGAATCAAAATACTCCATATAAACTAGGCAACATCGCAACCACCTTCAATTTATCAATCAGCTGTTTGTTCTAAAGTGAATTACGTCACTAATTCAAACATTGAATTTAAATAATACATAAATCTTTTTATACATATTACATTACATGTGACCTGTGTTCCAAATAAATGATGTTTTTTGGCAAAAATCTTAATCAATCAATCCTAATTCATACATTTTTCTTAGGTAATTAGAAATATTTTGGATAGAAAACCTTAATAATGATGTATATCAATCTCTTGTTGAATCTTTATTGTTATTTATTAATGAAAGCTTTGATTACATTACAATACAAAATTATATCCTAAGAATTACATTTAAAAAGGACAGATTGATAGTATGGCAAATAGAAAACATCTAAGTAGTACTAGGTACCCTTCTTTCACCAACTCTCTTAAAAGAACGAACGTTTTAATGTTTTTTTAATTAGGATAATGAATACCTAACCAACTTTCATGCTAATAACACTATTTGGAGTAAACTCTGTATCTAGATGAAGCTATGTGAATGAGATTGTAGCTAATTTTACGTGTGTGATGCTAGCTCCTTGTAGTCAGCTCCTTGTCGTCCCAAATATGAATCCGCGAACGTAGTCGAAAGTGTGAAGTGAGCTCACCACAGCTTTTATTGCAATAGAAATAAAATTGAATATATTTTTTTAACAATTTGAACAAAATATAACTAAGTTTCTTTTTTAACCAACAACAAACAACACAATCAAAATAAAATAATATCGAGTTAGGTTCGAATCACCATTTAAATCAAGGAAGGTAGGGATGTGTGTAATTGTAGTAAGGTACTTTCTCAGTGCAGGACCGGATTTTCGATATGAAATTTACAGGGTAGTTAGAGAGTCAATAGTACTACCCAATCCACCTCCCAAAGTTGAGGGAAAAACGAAACTTTCGCGGTAAAAAATTATTTACTGTGCACGGAGCTAGGTACTATACTCTGGCTAACGAATGTTGAGCGCTGAGTTGTCACTACTCGAATATACCACAGACGCTTTTTACTGCTGTCTTTATTGCACGCGCTCTGCGTATATAAAAACGATTTAGGTCCGAACGTCTTCGACCAAACACCGCCTACTGAACAGAAATGCGACTTTCGCATGCTATGCGTTCGACAAAGAAAGTGGATATGACTTTGTCTGAGCGTTTACCATGCGGTAGCGGTACCATAGAGAAACAGACGAAAAAGAGAGTAGCGAATTAAACGAGACAGATCGGCACCGCTGTACGCCTGTAGCACCTCCGTGAGCTACAGGATGAACTAAACTTGTGGGACGCATGGCGGGAAATTTAAATTGGTACTGAAGATTATTCAGTTTTAATGGAAACTTTTAGGGAAAAAAAAAACAATACCTAATTCTTTATCAAGCTAGTTTAATTGAGAAAATTATTAGCGGCATTTTTCAAGCAATAATAAAATAAATAATAACTCTTAAAATATAAATAATATAAACAAAATCTGAATTCTTCAAGTAGTAATGAAATAAAACAATCACTCTTATAATACGGATAATATCAACAATAGTAATGAAATTAATAATAAATAACTCTCCAAATACAAAAAATGTGTGATAGAAAACGAAAACATTGAACTATCCTCAGTCTAACAATAATAAAAATAAAACAAGTAATAAGTAGGTATAACGTAATTATTTATGCAATATAAAAAAATACAACACTGACTTGACACACATATGAGAGCTCTCGGAAGCCCTTTGTTTACATTTCTTATATTACAATTGTTGAATTGATAATTAATGGAAAAATAGAAAATTATTCTTTTCAATATTTTTCCTAGAAGTGAACTGAGGTTATGTTTATCTACGTATACAACAGCATGTGTCAGTTAATATGGAAATATCTACTGTTCTGTTTCCTTCTTCTTCTGTAGTGCTTCAATATTGCTAGAATGAGACGGAAACGAGCACGTAGGTCGAGTCCCGACGCGATAAATAAAGGGACAACTTTGCGACGTCTGCGTTGCGCTACAGGCATAAAGGAATGCGGTGCCGATCTCTCTCGTTTAATTCGCTACTCTCTTTTTGGTCTGTTTCTCTATGAGCGGTACTGGTTTCACCATAGCCGTTCGTTTGTGCTTACAGAAGCCACCATTCCCTTTTAATGGCTGACTGAGGGACAAACGAAACTTTCGCGGTAAAAAAGTATTTACTGTCCAAGGAGCTAGGGCAGCTAGGCACTATCTCAGTCCGGAACCGGATTTTTGATATAAAGTTTTTAGGGTAGTTAGATAGTCAATGGTTGTATTTTGTATTCCTTTCAAGATTTTAAAACACTCGAGCTACTCGCCCTGGTGTTAGTCGCCCTCCATTTGAAAGGAACAGATGTGTGGTGCAACAAACACTTCTCAAATCAAAAGGAATAAGCGTGTAACGCCCCGGAGCTAATCGGGAGCTCCTCCTAGGTGTGAAAGGAATACAACTAATAGTACTACTCAACCTCAAAGTTGAGGGACAAACGAAACTTTCGCGTTGAAAATTATTTTCAGTCCAAAGAGCTAGGTACTATCTCAGTCCAGGACCGGATTTTTGATATAAAATTTTTAGGGTAGTTACATGGTCAATAGTACTACTCAACCCACCCCTCAAAGTCGAGGGACAAACGAAACTTTCGCGGTAAAAAATTATTTTCTCTCCAAGGAGCTAGGTACTTATTATTATTTACTGTTACTGTACAAGGTGCTAGGTACTAGGTATCTCAGTCCAGGACCGGATTTTTGATATGAAATTTTCAGGGTAGTTAGAGGGTCAATAGTACTGATATAAAATGTTTAGGCTTTTGTTTATCCTTCAACTTTGAGGGGTAGGTTGAGCACTACTTATTGACCCTCTAACTACCCTAAACATTTTATATCGAAAATCCGGTCCTGAACTGAGATAGTACCTAGCTCCTTGGACAGTAGGGTGAATGTGCCTGTTTATGACCAGCTAAAAGAAAATTTGATTTTGAGATATGATAAATGCCAGAAAATTAAGTGAATCTTGAGATAGGTTTACAATTGCATTTTTAGGGATTTTATTTAGTAAATAAATTGAATAAATGTTGAAAACGAGCAACGACGTAGCTATAGCTTTTACATGGGGGGGGGGGGGGGGGGGATTAGAGCAGTGGCGGCTTGTGGTATATGCTGGAAGGAGCTCCAATTTTAGACCAGACGATGTATTGTATAGGCAACCTGGCGTAGCATAGCATAGCTGAGGATATCGCTGAAGGCGAAAAATTTTTTCCGGTGCCACGCCCAAAAACGTTTATTTTTCTTAAAAAAAAAAAAATTCAGGTCAATGGGGGGGGGTTCGAACCCCCCAAAACCCCTCCTATACGTCCTTGAAAAAGAGCATTTTATTCTGTTTACGACCACCGGTCACAATGAGGAATTTGCATTTTTTTTTTATTCTCTTATTAAATTTTTCACATTGTAAAAAGTCACTTGCCACATAAATTTTAAATTTTCAACCAATAGTTTTTCTGTAAAAAATATAGAAAATCAAAATAACTCTATTCGCGCCAAAACGCAGTCGTAAATCAATGACGTCATAAGACGATATCCGTCAAAACGAGTCTCTGTACTCCCTCCCTGTCTTACCCATCATCAATTGTGTTTTATGTCATTGGTTTATGCGACTATGTCGATCATTGTCATTTTTCGTTCACTAAACAAAGATAGCTAACTCATCGGTGAAGTCGCCGATTAAAATAAAAACGAGGAGTATCTTTGTTTAGTGAATGGAAAATGACAATGACCGACATAGAATGGTGGATCCATCGGTAGAATTCGATGTAAACACAAGCGTCTGACAGCCTATCACGTTAACATAACCACACTTTTGTTTGTTTATCGTTCCATGACATCATAACTAATTAGGGAATCCAAACCACGTGACTTTTGCGAACCAGCCGGCATTTTGAAATTTTTATAAGGTTAGAATACGGGTTGTTACATGTCAGCGATGTCAGAAAAGTGTCAGATTGATAAAGCCTAGTACTCATAACCGCGAAATTCGCTCTTTTTTGGCGTTGCTTCGACAATTTGACGTTTGATTCACGCATAAAACGTCAAATTGTCAAAGCAATGTCAAAAAAGAGCGAATTTCGCTGCTATGAGTACTAGGCTTAATCCTGCCAAAAGAAAAACATATGTTTTTTGTTTATTGTTTGCCAACCAGACGCCATTTGGACAGGTCGTTGGATTGCCTAATTTGAGAGCGTTTTCGCGTCCTTTGTTATATTCAATATTGGAATAATTATTTATTTATTAGTGGATAAGTATAAAGAGGATTTGAATATAGAAATATACTTCTAGAGTATTTTGCTGCACTTTAAATACATTTTGCATCAAAATAAAATTTTATGCAGCTTCCTCATTCTCGACCACTTTAGGGTTGATTTTCGACTGCTTAAAATAAAGCTACTCACCTGGTTGATGTGCGAGCATATGCTTTAAACAAATGAGTGAACAAATTGTGGAAAAGTGGTATGAATTTTGTAAAAAGTCCTCAAAATCCTTGTTTGAATTTTCAGTTTGCTACTCAGCATTTAACAGGAGCTGTGGAATCCAGTATAAAGTTTTGGTGCAAAATAAGAGGATTGCAAAATAGATTACTACTAGATTACTCTTGAATACAGATTAAATACTTTGGAGCAAGCTGAGAAGAAAAATAATATTTTGATAACGGAAATTGGTTTTCAAGAGACCAAAACAGTGAACGAAGTAGTATGGCAACTGTTGGGAAAGATGGAACTTGAAGGAAGAAGACATAACTGATTGTTACAGAATCAATACCAAAAATCCTGAAAAACCAATTCTTTTAAAATGTAAAAATTTTGAAGTGAAAACGAAGATCTCAACAGAAAAAAAACTAAAAATGTATACACTAGGGAGTGAAATTTCCGTGGACCAAATGTACAGATATACCTCAATGATGATTTAACAAAAAAAAAAACCAAGAACTGTTTGAGACAGTAAGAAACTTTAAACAAAGATGTAACATTAGGTCTGCCTATTGCATTAACAGCAAGGTTTTTGTCAAAAAAGATGCTGAGGGACCGCCAATAGGAATCTACAGCCAAGAAGATCTGGAGAAATTATAATGTATTTTCTTGTTACTTTGTGTAGGTTAATTTATAATACAAATTCACAGTACAAAATGATATTTTGGATGACTATCTAACTGATAGTGCTACCAAAAATGATAATGTTTCTAGCTTAGGTTCATATATAATAACAAAGTCTGTGATTTTAATATAATTCATATAAATATATGCGGAATAAGCAAGAAGCTTCAATAGCCACAAAAATTGAAAATCAAATACAACAAATTCCTGATTCTTTTAAAGAAAAACCAGTGAAAAATTCGTTATTCCTGCGGCCTATTACTGAGGAGGAAATGATCAAAGCAATAAATAAGTCAAAAAAATCAGATTCAAATACAGGCGATTTCATTTCTAATTCTTTCATAAAACTACATTACAACACTCTTATAAAACCATTGGTACATATATGCAATCTTGTGTTTGGCCGAGGAGTGTTTCCAGATATATTGACGACAACTTTTGTAACAGCATTGCACAAGGGAGGGGATCGTAAAGATGTTAATAACTACCGACCGAAAGCAATCATTAATTCTATAAGTAAAGTAATTGAAACAAACATTAAAAACATGATGTGGGACTTTCTTGATAAAAACAAAATAATTTCACCCAACCAATTTGGTTTTAGGGCGGGTTGTGGCACAGAGTATGCTCTATTTAAATTACAGAATTGTATTTTTGAGAACTTTAACCAGAATAAAAAAACTCTTGCAATATCCTTAGATTTGACAAAGGCTTTCGATACTGTGGCACATCATACTCTACTTAAAAAACTTGATAACATGGAAATTAGAGGAATAGTAAACGAGCTTATTCAATCATACTTAACAAAACGTAAACAAATGAAGTGGAATGCATTGAAATGAATGACACTAGAATTAGTCCAGGAGATTATTATACATTATTTGTGTCCCAGATACTTTTGGTGACGATGGTACATGTGGAGTATGTTGCCTTAAAATCAAGATTTTTAGTTAAGTTCTATGAGCTGAGAGATATATTGAGTATTGAAGCTTTAAAAATGGTATATCAGGCCCTTGTGGAGTCAGTAATAGGTAATGGTCTAATTTGTTGGGGAGCTGCCTGTAAAAGTATTATAAATTCAGTAATAATTACACAAAAACACATACTAAAAGTCATGCTAAAAAGAGGAAAACTATTTCCTCGACTATTTCCTACTGACCTATTATTTGAAAGTACGGACTTACTAACTGTGAGACAATTATATTTGAAAAACAATATTAGGTTTGCACATAAAACAAATTTATTCCCATCTTCTGTTAATCATGAAATCAAAACCAGAGCAATATCGAACTTCAATCAAATCAAATCAAATATATTTCAAGTTAAATTAAATCACAAAGATTTTTACTCACTTCATACAATGTCATATACAGACCAGTTTCTAAGTAGTTACATTAACACATTAAAATTTCTACACTATTAACCTACAGATTGCTAAAACTAACAAGATAAAATTCCTAAAAAACATTTCACAAAAAACACGTTAAAAAAACAATCTTGTCCTACATTCTATACGAAATTCCACTGCAAAAATTCATCAATGCTATAGCAGGTTCTTTCAATTAAGAATCTTTTAATTGACACCTTAAACCTACTCTCAGGCATATCCCTATACTGAACCGGCAGTCTGTTATACAGAGATGGCGCATAGTAATTTACAGAGAATTGTGTCCTCTCCAGACGCAGGTATGCTGGTCTAATGTCACCGCCCTGCCTTGTTGGGTATTGGTGGAAAAAATTATTTAGAGTGTATCTTTGTTGATTTTTGTGACAATACAAAACTTAAATGTAGGTACCTTACGAAACACAAAACTTTTCCATAACCCAGAGATCTATCAGATATATCTGCCCCAAAGTGCTAAATATTTTGCCCCTTAAATTTAGACAAAATCAATCAAGAGAATTTAAATATTGGAGTAGGGAGTTAAGTGAGTGATAAAAGGAAAGAAAAAAAAAATAATTCAAAATTGCTTTGTGCTTGCATACTAAAGATAATAGTCTAGCGGCCTGGCCTGTCTAGGAAGCACAAAAAAAAACTGGGGTATAACCAAATGGGACCTTCACTAATTGAAAAAGCATGTTTTTTCACGTAGAAAATGGAAATTGACGACACTCTCCATTGGTCGTGACCAAAGATATGGACAAAAAACTGAAAAAAAAGGAATATATATTTTTTTTAACTTCAAACACTCATAACTTTTTTTCTAGACCAGGTAGATCCAAAGTTTTTTATTTAGTTTTATTCCCCATTCAGTTTCCTATCTTTTGGTATGTATTTTATTGAAAAATAGTTGTAACCCATATTTGGAAAACAGTAATATTTAAAAAAAGTCAACAAATTGTCAATATTTTTTTAAGCTCACCTTGCCATAACTTTCTTATGCAAGGAGCTATTCGCATTATTTTTTATTCAAAAACTGCCCAATTTAATGGACTTTATTTTATCTCAATAAACATTTGGTCTATTTCTAGAAATAAAACGGGTAGCAGCGTTTAAACGACGGGACGCGTGCCTATCCGACACGCTTAAAAGCGGGTTTTTTCCATTGCGAACGACGCGACGCTTAGCTTGCTGCACCATTCCCTTTGAACCAATGGTATTATAGACTTTGGTCTGTGCTTTTGTAGTTGTAGATAGAACTTGGTTGTTTTTTTTTTTTAATCAAAATAATCCAGCTCATTTTCTTCGGATACTAAATCGGGAACCAAAGGGCGTTTCATTTTACATTTGCAATCCTCCATACAAAAAACGCCTTCTTTAATGCACAAACATTTTTGATTCATGCAATTTTTTTCATTGCAAAACTACCTAGGTATATAGGTAGATATACCTATACATGCAATTTAAAGCTGTCTTCAGTCAGTGGCAACTCTTGAGCAGGTTTTTTGGTCTTGAGTGTCATTTCTGTCTTTACACAGTTTAAGTTTTGAATGGATTGAGCTTTATATAGATAGCAAAAAAACTTTCTTGCGATGTCAACACTTTCCTAGATTGTTCCGCTGGAAAACTCATTCAGTTCAATTGTCTGACAGTTTTTGTAATATATCTCTCAGGCAGTTTTTTTCCCAATTTTAAAGAGAGAACTCGTTGTACGCCTGTACTAGCTGGTTGTCCAAGTTTTTTAGGAAGTGCATATATTGGAATACCATATCTCTTTTTGTTAGTAGTTACGTTCATATGATCGGCCTCCATATGTATCTCATTTTCTTTTAAATTTGTATTACAGGAATAATAATAAATCTAGTTAAACCAAAACATCGATATCATCAGTCTTGACAACCATCTTACCAATAGTGTTTGACGATGAAATATGAAAGAGAATACGAGTATCAGCCTCTTCATGGTTTGACTTAAGCTCGGGTAGCTCAATGCAGCTGTCATTTCTCACCTAATAAAAATAAAATCACACATATTATGTAAAGGCCAACTTTTAAATTTGGACGAATTATTTTCCCTCACATATTTATTAGCCATCGGACACCCTCCTGCAACAACTACTTCTCTACCATGCGGTACCAAATTCGAAGATTTATATACAAAGTCAGTAACAAACTGTAAAAGCGCCTTCTCATTGGCTGGAGATCTAAGAAAGTTCTTGTTGTTAGGAACTGTCCTGGATTGTACAATACTATAGACATTCAAATTATTTTGAATACCTCTTCTTTCTCGTTTTGAGTTTTTTGTCGAATATTCAAGGTCATACCTATCAAACATTATAGACACTATAGATTTTCTACACGAAAAATGATAAAAATATTGATCAAGATGCGATAAGAGGTCTTGTTTTTTTTCTAGAATTTTCACAGTTACGTTATCATTCCAACATTTCAAAATTGATTGTAACTCAGGTATCCTTGGTATTTTTACCATTAAGTTATCGCTAGTTACAGTGGCTTCTCCACAAAAGAGACAACTAGCTTTTTCCATAATGAATCCAATCTAAAAAGGAATAACGTTGCACAAAAAAAAGTGATCATTCAAAAATAGTTATCATAAACCTATTTCTAAACCTAAAAGGTAGCAACCCTGATGCGAAATAATACATTGCTTGTGTATCTCCTATTCACGCAAACTACGACAAAAATTTCACACAATAATAACAAATAGTCCTACGGCTGTTTGCACCGCTGTAACCTAAGGGATATTTTATCCAAGTGGAGCTTTGAATGTGACTCTTGTAGAAACAAAAGAACATTCAAAGCTCCATTTAGATTAAATATCCCTTAAGTGATAGCCGTGCAAATAGCCATTAGGTACCTACTCGCCCCTATAAAACTAGTACTTTATAGGCATAGGTAAAAACACTCGATATATAAAGGGTATACGGTATACCATTTAAAACGAAACAGGCTAAATATCTGATGCCACTTTTATTTTGTAAATAAATCACTCGTCCACGTAATTTGATTGTGTGAGTGTTTGAAACATTTCCAGCACCAACTTAAACCTCTAGAGGGGGTGGGACCAACCCTTACCATTCCAAATGGAACAGGGGGTCGAGTGATACCTGTTAAAAGACCGTTCAATTTTCTTTCAAATGACATCAAATGAATGAGAATTCAATGCTCTTTTAAAAGAGGTGTATCACTCGACTCCTTGTTCGATTTAAAATAGTAAGGGCCCACCCCGCCTAGAGGGTTAAAGTTGAAGTGCCAGAAATGATTGCAGAAAACTTCCCCCTTTGATAATCAAATTACCTGTAGGAGCGATTTTTTAAAAAGTAAACGTCGCATCAGATATTTAGCTTGTTTTGTTTTGAATGGTGTATATATTGTATAATAGGTATGCTTTACAAAAACCAAAAAATCTATAATTAAATAAATAATATTATTGCAAACTTCACAAATTACGGACTCTGTGAGATTCAGTTTTACTAAACTCCACCTTTCTGCATTACAGGCATGGTACGGGCCGCGGCGGGTGGTTGCGGGAATGGAGAGGAAGTCGCCCAAACCAGCCGCTTTCTCGCGTTTTATTGTGTTTAAATGGTTCTAGCGGGTTTGTTTTTAAAAATAGACCCTATAATGATCGAGACAAAATATTGCCTATAAAATTTCTCAACTTTTTGTAAAAAAAAAAATATTTATATTGCTTTATACAAGCGAGATACCGTAGGTTTAAATGAAGAGAAATGTTGTAAAATTGTGCATCCGTCAAGAAAATTGTTGCTAGTATAAACAATTATCATTTTGAACAAATGAAAAAATTGCTATTCGACCAGGAGCTATAAGGGTTTACAACTGTGAAAAAATTATCATTGAAGCTTGATTGGTTTCAGAGTTATTTGTACCTAAGTATTAAGAAGAAAATCGTCTCTTTTTTCATGTTTTTTCTCCATAACTAATGTCTCGACCAATGGAGAGTGTCGTCATTTTCAGTTTCCTATGTAAAAAATCATGCTGAATCGAATGGTACCTGTTTCGATTGGTTATACCTCGATTTATAAAAACCCGATAAGGAGAAGGCTTTTAAGCGCGTGGCCGACGGCCTATAATGTTATGTTTAAAATTATATAGATTTATATGTACACACACAACCCGAAAGGTTAATCGTGTACAAAAGGAACTGTTAATTATGTATTTGATTTCTTCAAAATAAATGATTTGATTTGGTCATTTACCTACCTAGGTAGTACATCATATGGGATTTGTGTCCATCAAATACAATTATTGGTCTTGTGTTTTTTAATCGTGCCCATTTATGAAAATCATTTGCTATGTATTCAAAAAATACCTCGGATGTCATCCATCCTTTATCTGGGTTTCCTAGAACCCAATTACTAGGCATACCTTCCACTACCGCTCTAGGTAGCCTGACAGGGGAATAAGACTAGGGGTGGAGCAATTTTTTCCAGCAGGAATAAAAACCATGAGTACAGTAATATTTTCTTTCTCATTTCCTAGTTTGATATGGTATAAGTTTCTAAATCCCTTGGGTCCCAATATTTTGCCAGATTTTGGATATAAGGCGAATCCTGACTCATCCCCATTAAATATTCTATGAGGGTCATCCAATAAGTCCAACAAATTTCTCTCCGTTAGGAATTGGGTGAGTTCTTTAAACCATTTTCTTATGCTTTCTTTGTTTATAATCGCCCTAGCTTTGTTAATTCCTTCAGCTTCCCTTAACGAAACTTCTGGATTGCGTTTCATGAAATTTTTATACCAAGTCTGATGAGGTCAGCTGTGTTGAACAGCGTTTTTTTTTTTAACTGGAAAGCCACACTTTGCTGTGTTAATCACCCATTCCTTGACGCGATTTTCACCTTGCACTGTAAGTAGTGGTGGCAGACCAGGTTTCTGTGACTGATCAGGAACTCGTCCAGATATCCTATACAAAATTGTCATTTTTGGGACATTAAAGGTTCTACATGCTTTTCTAATTGCCATTTTATTATCCCTGATTTCGTGTAAAGCTTTTTTTAGGTCTTCTTCTGTGTAATTGTTGAGTACCTTTCGCACTCTTCTTTGGGTTTCAAGTTTGACCATGTTGGAAGTTTTTAGTCTATCCTTTGCATTTGCTTGTACTTGTTCCATTCAAGTCACTCTTTTTTTTTGGGAGCCACTGGAAAAGGTGAAAGAAGTTTTTTTTTTTTTTTTTTTTTTTTTTTTTATGCATAAAAGCAAGCAAGTGAACGCGTCGTGTTTTTTTGTTTCTCTGAAGTATTGGCTATTTGAGCTGTTTGTTGTTGGAAATAATTGTGTATTTTAACATCAAAAGAAAGCGTATAAAATCTATTATCTGACGAATGTGTTTTCGATTGAAGTACGTAATTTGTTACGACAAAATACTGTGATTCAGCTTTGACAACTACTGTGTTCGTGCGGAATAAATTAATTCAAAGGAGAAAAAAAAAAAAGTGCACTATTGTAAACAGTTAAATTCCGAGTTAAATTCTTATCTGCTGGCGGCTGGGTATCATAAACAATTCGAGAACTAAATAAACAATACCTATTTACTCGAATATTTGTAAATAAATAAACAAATAAATATACAGTGAGCGATAAAATACTATCCATATCATGTCCGGAACTTGTTCAAAGTGTCATGAGGATTGCATATTTAAGGAAAGCAAAAGCGAACTTTTTGGGTTTCCGTGCGATGCGTGCAAGGATGTCTGGTGTAAAAGATGTGCTAACTTCTCAACAACAGATGTACGTGCATTGATCCAGGTTGCCAAGCGCACTCTCCCGTTTTTTTGTGCGGATTGTATGGACTCCATCAAGCAACTTCCTCTGCTTAAGGTTGAAGTGAAGGAATCGATTAAGGAGGTTCCACTGCTGAAGGATGAGTTCAAAAAACCTCAATCTGAAGTTAATGAAATTGAAGAAAACTTGAATAAAGCAAAGAGCACATATGCTGAGGTTACCAAAATAATAAATGAAGCCGAATTGATAAGAACAAGTGTTAATAAACTCGAAAAAAAGGTTGAGGATTTTAAATCCCAAGACAAAGAAAACTTGGTTCCAGCAATTGATGAAATCAGTGAAAGAGCGAAACGGTCCTTGAATATAATTGTATTTGGGGTTCCTGAAATAAAAAATCTGAACAAGGAAGAACGGAATATAAAAGAGAAGGAGGGGGCCGTATCAATACTAAACTCACTAGATGAATCCGTACCCACTGAAAGTATCAAATTGTACAGATTGGGAGGATATGATTTAAATAAGGTTAGACCTATAAAGGTTATGTTTGAAACAAAGGAAGATGCTTTAAAAATTTTAAAGAGCAAAAGCAAACTAGATGAATCGAAAGGAATATATATCAAGGGCGATCTAACTCTCCTTCAACAGAAGTACTTGAAGGGAGTTGTAGCCGAACTAAAAGCCCGAAAGGAAAGCGGTGAGTCCAACCTTAAAATTAAATACCATAACTCTATTCCAAAAATTATAAAGATCAAGCAAGGTCCAAAAAACTAATAAGCAACAATCAGGGTAGCAGTTTGGAGATTGAAATCACTTTTTGGTACAGTAACTTGCAATCTATTGCCAATAAAATAGATGAATGGTCAGTATCAATACAGAAACATAATCCTGCATGCATCTTAGTAACAGAGACTTGGCTTAATGAGAACATTGTTGATAGTATTGTTGGGATTGATGGGTATAGTGTATTCCGCCAAGACAGAGAAAATCAAACTGGAGGTGGAGTGTGTGTTTTGGTTAAGGATGAGCTGAATGGACACAAAGTATATTCTACAGTAAACAATCAATTTAATACATTAGCCCCAATACAGTCATTGTGGATTGATATAAAGGTCTGTAACATCAAATTTCTGGTCTCTTGTATATACAGAACGGATTATTCTAGTGAGGAAAATGATAATATTATGATCAACTCAATTAAGCGTGCCTGTTCATTGGATATGCCCGTTTATATTATGGGGGATTTCAACTATCGGTATATAGATTGGAAGAATCTTAATCTGTCCAACCCAGACAAACAAAATCGACTTTTTTTGGACAACTATCTTGAAACTAATGCTTACCAAATGGTTGATTTCCCAACACGTTTCCGAAATGACCAAGTTTCACTACTTGATCTAGTCTTCACCAATGATAAGAAACTGCTATACAACTTGGAACCCGAGCCACCCATAGGAAAGAGCGACCATGTCGTCATCATTGGAAAAAGTCAACTAAAGTGTGAACTGCGTCCAACGAAAACTGTATTGAAACGCAACTTCTTCAGTGCCGACTATGAGAAAATCAATAGTTTTCTGGCTGAGCAAAATTTTGCTGCCTCGGGTGATGTGTTCCACACGTGCATGTCAGTCTTAAGCAGTGCTATAGACAAGTTCATTCCTTTGAAACCATGTAAAACAAACCCACAGAAACCGTGGCTAAACCAGTTCATATTTAAACAAATAGAAAAGAAACGAGGTCTATGGGACAAATACAAAAAATCAGCTACAGATGACAATTACAGAAAATATCGCGAACAAAACAACTACCTAACAAGTGTAATTAGAAAGTCAACAAAAGACTATGAATGCAACATTGCTTCTCAGAGCTCAGATAAAATATTTTTCAAGTATGTGAATAAAACACTATCAACCAAAGTTTCAACAATAACATTAAAGAATGAAGCGGATGAACTTTTGACTGACGACTTTGATGTAGCGGAATGCTTTGCAAACCAATTTGAAAAGGTATTCACCAAAGGAAATCAAAACGAAATGCCACTAATTCCGGAATACCTACGTGCAACTTCAAAGATGTCAAATATTGACTTATCTCCTGATAAGGTGTATGAAGCAATAAAATCGTTGAAGACGGATTCCAGCCCAGGCCCTGATGGAATTCCAGCAGTGTTCCTGCAAAATTGTGCAGCCATCCTGAGCCAACCCTTGTCTGATCTCATGAAAAGTATTTTTGAAGCTCACAACTTTCCTGAGACTTGGTCAACATCGTTTGTGATTCCAATATACAAAAAAGGAGACAAAACCGCTCCATCGAACTATCGTCCAATAAGTTTGACGTGCAATCTATGCAAGTGTATGGAAAAAATTGTGGTGAAACAGTTAACCCCATTTGTACTGGAGCAAAATCCATTACTGAAGCACCAACATGGTTTTCTTCCAGGGCGTTCTACAACAACCAACCTTACACTATGCTTGGACGATTGGACAAGGGACTTTGACAATAACGAGCAAGTGGATGTGATATATCTCGACTTTGAGAAGGCGTTCGATAAAGTGTGTCACAGTTATCTCCTGCACAAAATACATCACTTTGGCATTGCTGGGAACCTATTACAATTTGTATCAAATTTTCTATTAAACCGATGCTACCAAGTAAGAATAAATGCAATCTTTTCAGACAGAAGAAAAGTGCAGAGTGGGGTGCCTCAGGGATCAGTACTGGGTCCTCTACTTTTTTTTATTGTATGTCAGCGATATGACATCTAATATCCAAACCAGGGTTCTACTTTTTGCCGACGACACGAAATTGTATGCAAAGGCCGCAGAACACAAGAAATTGCAAGAAGATCTCAGAGCTATAGAAGTGTGGTCCAATACGTGGAAAATGAGGCTAAACGAAGAAAAATGTACTATCTTGAGCATTGGAACCAACACCACTGAGTATGCCTACAAAATAAACAATGTCGAGCTGAAGCATGTGAGGGAGCAATTGGATCTAGGTGTCATAGTAACCTATAATCTGAAATGGGAGATGCACATATCAAAAATTGCCAAAAAATCCAACTCATACATATACCTTGTGAAAAAGGCCTTTGAAGACCAGTCGTGCAACACCATTATGAAACTGTATAAATCTTTCATACGTCCAAAACTAGAATACGCCCACTCAGTTTGGAATCCGTACTTCATAAAGGATATCGAGATACTAGAGCGAGTGCATAGACGAGTAACAAAAATTCCACCATCACTCCGTAATGAAGATTACCTTACTCGACTATCCACCCTGGGACTCACTTCTTTGAGGGAAAGGCGTCAGAGAGGAGATCTGATCGAGACATACAAGATTATTCGAAATGGCTACTCCTGTAACCTTGACATCTTCACCTTCAATAACAACCCCCATCTACGAGGTCATACTTTGAAGTTGTGCAAGGAAAAAACCGCCAAGCTTCCAAGAAGAAACTTCATAGCAAATCGAATTGTCTACCCATGGAACAGCCTGTCAAATTCTACAGTCACCGCCCAGAGTCTGAATTCTTTCAAGAATAAGGTCGACACCGATATGAGTGCATTACTCCATATGGATATTCATTATGGACAATAAGTTCTTACCAAAAACACGACGATAAACTTACAAGTAATCCAATAGTTTCATCAGTGTAAACTGCTTACTATTGTATCATAATAATAAAGTTAGATTCACACAAGAAGTCACTCCTTCATATCCTTATAAGGTGGTAGATAAAAGAAAAAGATCGATCTGGTTTTCGACCACCAATTCTCAGCAATTATTTCAAAGAACATTTTCATAATTTTTCAATTCAAAATGGTGGTCGCAAACCAAAATTTAGGTTCTTGAAGGCTATTTATAAACAATAAACAAAAATTAAATTTTTCAAAGTCCTTTAACATATTTTTTCAAATAAAAGTAATAGCTTTTGCATTTTTCAAAATCCCAATTCCAAATCTCAGTATTACACAATTTGCAGATGAGACAAATTTGTTTGTGAAAGTATCTAACCTTCCTGAGCTTACTGAAAACGCAGAAAATGCTTTTAAATTAGCGGAAAATTAATTTGAAGAAAATAGATTATATCTAAATAAGGAAAAAACCAATATAATTCTGTTCAGAACCAAATTGAGTAAAATGAAAAAACCTGAGTCTATATTAATCAATGAATGTAAGTTTGAAATAAGCAAGAGCACTAAATTTTTGGGTATGCATATTGATGAGTTTTTGGACTGCTCTGAGCATATTGATAATCTGAACAGGAAATTAAATACAATATGTTACTGCATGAGATTTTTTTCAAAATATTTGGATAATGCATCGAAAAGAATACT